CGCGGCTGAGGAGGGTGATCGTGGTGTTGGGTGAGACACGATCGTAGAGGTCTTTGAGCGCCTTCCATGCGTAGAATGCATTTTCGGCGGAGACGACTGTTGGTTGTATTTCTTCGCATACAGCAGAGATGAGAAGGCTGTGCATTTGTTTACGAGCCTTCTTTATCTCGGTTTTGCTGAGTTCGGTGTCATTCTCGTCAGGGTTCTCGATACTCAACGCTTCCCACCAGTCTACAGCGTCGAATGTTATCCTCCAGGCACTCGCCCAAGTTTGGTAGTTGGATTGCCCTTGTAGTTTAGGGAGTCCATCAAACTTGAGACGAATGTTACTGGTGGCTGTTGTCTCTGAGGGTTTAGTCTCAGCAGCACTGGATGACGATTCTCCACCTGAAGGCATGATGTTGTATGAAGTGTTGTTGAGTTAAGCGAGGTGGCGATGGTGTAGTGCGGATTCTATTTGGCAGAACCCGGGCTCATAACCTGTGAATTGGAGTGTGGGAGAATAGACGACTTGAGGAGGGTTTGAACACGTGACCTTTGTGAGGAATATGTTTATAGTGCAAAGAAGATACTATTGCGCCGCTGAGTTCCAGCGACAATAATGGGAGTTTGTTGCTCCTTATATACAGATAGTTCTTAGTACCACGTGATCCCCTGATTACATAATCCTAGCGCTAAGCCTCCTTGTTCCAACTATAAGTCATCCCTTATACATGAGTAATTACCATACATAACCGATGTCGCAATGCCATATTTTTACAGGACTTCATATTGTAACAATCTTCATCATGATTCCGTAAATAACTTCATTGATCATGACCATCGAAATAGTCCTCCGATAGCGGGCTGGATTGCAGGGTGCAGTGGAGAGGAACAGAAGCAGTTAAAGAAGGTTCGAAAGTTATCATAGGGCGTTTGGACCCGGTCCTGTCTCCTATTGTAGTCCACAGCCCCGGTCTGGCTTTGTCAAATTGTCTCGAGTCCAATTCCTGAGATCGAGACAACTTCTCTCGTTCCTTTCACTACTCTTTGGTCTGGGGTTGCACCTCTGGAATCCCTGTTCTTAATATGTATATAGGTGGAACTACGCAGGAATCGCATAGTGCTGGCATCGCGGGTTAATTGAAAATACTATCGGGTGTGGTGATGAGTCGGATTTCTAAAGGAAGCGCACCTCATATGTAGCGAGATTCATGATTAGAGATTTACAGAGAAATACAAATGCAGAATAATACTTGTATTGGGGCAGTTAACCAGAATTGCGGATGGCATTCGGGACAGTGAAAGCCATTAGTGCGTAAAACTCTAATGGTTAACCACCTTGGTTCGGGCAAGAGTTAAAGTATAGGCCAAGCCGCACCTTACAGCTCTACCATGGTATAAGCTTGAATTCAGCCCTGAGTAGTAGAGGACGATATACATAATAATAAGCTGTGGTGCTTTCATCGCTTTACTACACATTGGGTAGCGCTATAGCGTACATACCGTCTTAAGAGAGATACATGATGTACCTGGATTTACTTGACTGATTCTTTATTGTATCCTGACATGGAATAGTCGCAAGGAGCTCACCCCTTCCAATAGCAACCCACCTCATGCACCCTTAGGCCGGTCGTTACTTCGTCTGAAGATATAGCAGCTCTATATATCTGGATAAGGAAGGTAGAAAACATCCGAACACCAAGGGAGATTAGATAGGTATTTATGCATGTTTTACTCAGCATGCGGTACCCACACCTTCCCATGGCCCAACGATGGCAATTTAAGCTGAGGCTCCCTTCAGTTAAAGAGAAAGGGGTAGTATGTACCCCTGGATTTTATCTCAGTATAATAAGACATTTCCCCATCTTCCCTGCCCTTCTTTCGTTCCTCTCCACTTAATCTCCACCCCCGCCCCCCTCAGAAGCTTTTTAGGCGCAGAACACCTCAATAAGACTCATTCCTCCCGTTCTCAAAGCCAAACTCGCTGCTCGGTACGTCTCCTCCCGCTCATTGACAAAAGTGAAAGTGGCCCCCTGGTATCTGGCTCTCTCTCTCCAGGCGGCGACGGTAGTTTAAACCATAGACAGGCTGTGTACAACTCTACTAAAAGCCCATTACCGATCGAAAATAAGTGGACTTTCACCGAGAAATCTTCATCAAATCTACAGTCCTATATTTATATACTCAGTAGTTTATCCTTGTACACAGCTGTACAAATTACAGGTGGTATAGATGGTAAGAGCCCAACGGATTCTAATCCTAGAATAAAGCTGATTGGACCACAAAAGGATTAGATAATCGCTATTAGAAATATATTAAGGATCAACCGACAAATCAAAGCACAGTATGGGCGATCAGTATTCCGCGATGAACTCAACAATAGGATCTAGTACCCCGAGCGGGGAAGCGGGCAAAATTTGCCGACCTGCTGTATGGATGGATATAGTAAAATTCTTTGTCCTTAACTATGGTCTTCATGTTTTTACGATTCTGTCGCGGCCGGGGGCCGGAGCTCTTGTTACAATCATCGATGGAATAACCGCGATCGTGCTACCCTTTCACGGCACAGCTGGTGCCATTTTCAAGCTCTCCCAATTTTCAATTTTTAAGAAGGACAAGCTGGCAAGAGCTTTAGATGCTGGGGCGTTATGTATGGTTGTGCCCTCATCATCTCATTTTGGGTCAGCAGTCTCTTCCATCTGTTGTAGGTATCGGAGATGCAAGCTAACAGTTTTGAAAGAGGATTGATATCACCTTCGTTGAGAAGTATACATGGTCACCATCCGGTTCGTGGCTCCAGCATCCTTGATTGGGTCAAACGTCAAGTGAATTACCCACGGCGATACTCCGAAGATACAAACAGTGATGAGAACCTAGCATGCGATAATGCAGTGGGTAAAGGCATATATAAACTCGTTCGTGTTCCATCCGAATGTACGGGAAGCGCCTACGAAAGCGGACGGACTACTCCGTGAGCGGCAATTGATAATCAAGGTATTCCCCAATGGAAACATTATTGCATAATCTCTCACAGATCTGATAGGGGAAACAGGGCACGACAAATCTCCTGAAACCGATATCACAAAAGACGATCAGACACAAACAGGGGTTTTAACTAAACATGAAATCGAGAAGACTCAGAACGTCGAAGGGGCGCTGGCTGGTGCCGTTGGGTGTGCATATGGTGTTCCTGTAACAGAGATACCTCCAGGAGTAAGACTCCAAACCCAGAGACATTACATTTTGACCTCTGATACCTTATTAATGACCTTTACTAACTCAAAATTGATATCGAAATTGCAGTCACTATCCACCCTTTTCGCAGTGTTATTGTGCTACAGCGCGTCGGCGGCCCCCTATGTTATTATACACTTATATACCGGATTCAATCCTAGAGATAGTACTTGTTCTCAGCGAACATGGATAATGTGTTCAATAGCTTTAAGTCAGGTCACCACGTTTCCTGCCGGTATTCCAACACTCCGAAATATGTGGGGCACAAACCCAATAATTACCCGAGTGCCTGAAAACGGTCGCTATATTTGGAAAAGAATCACGGCCTGGCTTGAATATCCTGGTCATTTTCTCCTGGGTTTGCTCCTTTACATTACAGTCGTATCGGCACCGACTATCGGGAGCTTTGTTGTTGTGTTCCAAATGATGTCGCAGGATAACGTGTGTGCAAAGGTATAGTGAGGTTGCAGTGTTTTAGGCTGGTATTGGTGGGCTTGGTGTTTTTTTGCTGTAGATAAGGGTAGTTTTTGATTTTTCTTGCTTTATCATTTTAATTTCACACTTTAGTAATGCTTCGCCCGACGCTTCTTACCTTTAAAGATATAAGGCTGAATCGTAAAGAAATCAAATTAATATTTTAACCCCTAATAATCCTGATCTGGATCATATCATTGTGGAGAATCCATCTAGTTCCCAATACCCTCGGCTTCACGTCCCAACCTAACTGACTACACGCTGCTTAAGCAATAAAATATAGCGCTTGCTACTCTACCTACGAATAACGTCATCCTTGCTATCACGTCAGCACAAGGTGAAGAAGAAAAAAATGCCTTTACCCTAACCGGCGTGGTTTAGACCAGGGTGCAGTTTGTCGTCCCATCTCGCCCTGTCGCACACATCCCTGCATCCTCTCGCAAAAGTGCCCCCTTCACCATCCCTGCACAACCGCAAAAGAGCACTTTATCCGAACCTCACCCCACCACCACCTCCCCACCACCACCACTATCCTCTCCACAACCATCCTCTACACCCCTACTGGTACATGCACCCCACCCGCCCTGGCACGTATGCAGTCGTCTAACCGCACTCACCGCGGTCTAGTTGAACATATGTCCACCCCACCCACGCTTCAGAAGATGCAGAAAGAAGCCGGTGGGGTACGGGTTATTTGTGGATTAATCTACTTATTTTCTTCACACGTCTATTGAGTGTGCGGGATGAGCTTCGCCAGCGTTAGTGTGGTGTTGTGTTGGAAAGCGGTGGACTGGTGGGAGATGGTTATGGCAATTGTGGGCTGCAGGGAGAGAAGGAGAGAGGAGGAAGGAAGAGAGGGGGGGGGGATGAGGAGGGAAGTAAGCAATGTCGGCAGTTCGCTCAGGGAAAACCTACGCTGGATGGCCAGGATCAACACTACATGTCGGCACCCGCTGAAACGCAGAAGCGGTTGACGCCCACGCAACCAACCAATCTCCGATTATAATGGGCTGACGAAAGTCTCAGCCGGTCAGTTAGCTAGTACAGGTACAATTGGCGTCTCTTGCCTATCTATCTAACAGGATGATATATTTCAGGGATACAGCATTTAACTCAGCCGACCCAATCTCGCGAATAATAAAGGGATAGATGGAAGGGAGGGAAGGTAGCAAGAGGGCTGCACTATCGACCTCTCTCCTCCCTATACACCGGCAATACTACATAATATCCCGGCGCACCCATGCCACACCTCGCCTTAACGGATCATGGGATAGCGGCTATACACCAGATAGATCGGCATCCTGAAGAACATGCTGAGGCGGGGGTGGGTTAGGGTTTAGTTTATTTAGAACGGAATGTGGCGTGTGTGTAGGGTAACCTTCTTCAGCGCTGTGGAATCGGAGGTGCGGTTGATTGCGGGCGAGGAGCGGAATGGTGTTGGAAATGTCGCTGTTGGCCACGGGTTTGCCGCTACCTCAAGTTACAGCGGGGAAGATAGCTTTGCCATCCTCGAGCAGAGCGGAGCCAAGCAGAAGCACATGAACAGCCTTACAATGAATGGCATCCGAATACAGCGCTCGCCGAAAGTTGGGGGCGATTTCAAAAACGGTGGGTGTTGGTGCAACTGATCCGAGTTAATGGTCTCAATCCTGGTGTCTGATGAACATCTCAGCAGGGTACAACTGCCCCTGGTGTTTGTGCCGGTGTGCTGGGGGTTCATGGTGTGTAGTGAGGTTCAGGATGACACCGCCGCGCTTCACAATCCCAAGCAGGGGTTTAGGTGGCCGAGTATGAGCTAGTGTACGAGCTCGGGCTTTAGACGGTACAGGCATACAGAGGTGCGGGCGGTCAGCAGGATACACGGCGTCGGATCACCAGGATAAATATATACACCACCGGATATCCGAGGAATAGTAGTCTTTTTCCGCGGGGATATGATTCTGGAGGTTGAGTAGTTGGCAAAGAGATTGTGTACATGATGGGTAGTGCGGTTAGCCGGGACGGCGAGGCTTTGGGCGCCATGGACCTAGTGGGTGTGGTACGGTGGTTGAGTGGTGCTCTGAGTAAAGTGGTCGAGTGATACTTTGTGATGGCATGCCCAAGCCTCTCCTGTTTCTTTCTTTAACACTTCTTCCGCCGGTTTGTTTAAATAAGCTTATAAAGTCGGGTTTTGTATCGACTCTACTTAATTTACGTGGGTCCATTGAAAGCGTACTTCTAATCTATGAATATCAGATACACAGCACAGTTAAATTTCCTCGGCATGATACCACCGCCACTCTGACCTCTCACCTCCGGCTCAAAAATATTTCAAGAAAACCTGCAAAACCAACCTCCAAAATCACCCGAGGTTCTCGAAAATACCGGTCCCCAGGACGGAATGTAATAATTAGCCATACCGCGTGTACTTTACCTTGACTCGAGTTAGTCCGTCGAGTGATACAGCATGATCGGGCGCCAAGCCGACTATGGTTGTTGTTTAGGGCGGGTTGTTGTTAACATCAATTACATACGTATGTGGATATACCGAGGATGGGACACATATCTTTCCTATGGTCGTCTAACCTTCCGAAACCGTTTTTTTGTTAATTCTTTTGAGACACTGGCTACGTAGTCGGGTACTAGTACAACCCCTGTTTCTCCCAGCCAGTTAAAGAAACCGCGCCCCGCCTGATATCAGTTATGTAGCGTAAGCAGGCAATTCAAAGATTGGTTGTTTCGCCGGATATCAAATTCCCGGCGGCCAACACGCGATGTTCGGTGGTGTAGTGCTATGTGGTGAGCCGAGTGATAAACCATGACTCGATGCCAAGCCGCTGCATTTGGGTCTGGGGGGCCTAGGAATTGTACACATCGTAAAGATATATTTGTAAAGAAACCGAGTATGCAATTATCATCATACGGTTCACGATTTGCCTCCGTCGGAAGTCTTTCTTTCGTTTGTTTGTTGAGTCAGCTATTCGAGTGCTGGTACCAACCTCTTTGTTCGATCGAGCCAATTGAATGACATTAGAACAATAATCTTGCCCCATTAACTTCGAAGTCTCGGGGCTCCAACAAGGAACACTCCCAGCGATCGCAATGGATCAGCCCCCTCCAGTCCTGCCCTGCCCTCAACGGGCATGCTAGCTCCGGCCCTCCATTACCAAAAGTTAGTTCTACCAAGCCTACCCAAGTACTTTACTCAGGTACCCAACCTTTTCCAGCCGATACATACCCTCCCTATCTCTCTCCGCATCAAATAAAAGCTCATACTTCACCGTCGAGTGATACCTCATGACCACACTCTCCCATCAAACCCCCCAATTCCCCCAGTTTCCCTAAGATCCAGCACCTTGTACTATCCACCCGGGTACTAGGTACTGTTGCATCTTTTGTCATCTCTTTTCCGCATCAGAAAAGTTCTGATTTCCTTGTCGAGTGATATCTCATGACCGCATTCTCCGTTGCAACCACAGGTTCTTTGGAACGTAGGCTGTTTTACTACGCACCCTCCTCTCTACAGCTCACCGGGCTAAGTTAAGAAGCATAGGCAAATATTCTTGGCCCAAGCCCCCACCTTCTTGACCGGCATGCCCACTACGAAGCCTACCCTACCCAGCCGGAGTCGGGGATCTGAAAACGCTTCTAGAGTACATAACAACCCGGAACCACCACCAGGCATAAAGCACTCCTGCAATAATAGCCGTTTAAAGCCACATCTCGAAGAGGGAGCAACTATCCGCAAAACCATCTTACTCTATACTACGGATCTCCCATGGATATTTCCCACGAATACAAGTACACCAATCATGCATACCAAGCTGAGACAGTAGCTCTTGCCATCGGGAATGCTCAAGGCGGTGAGGGTCGGATTATCTTTTGCGATTACCCTCAGCGCGATTGCGAAAAGTATTCTACCTAGGTGCGTTTCATGTGCCGAGTGATAGACTATGACCAGAAGAAAGACTGTCTCGAACCGGTGTCTGAATAGACCTATAGCTATGCGCTGTAGGATATCTATAGCACCACCGAGTCTAGCCATTTCTGGCTTGAGGCAACAAGAGATGCTCAAACACAAGATCAGGGGATTATGTCGCGGACCGAGTGATAGTTCATGAACGACACGCAGAAAAGTATCTCAAATAGCGTCAAAAGTGCATTGTTATCACTGCTATAGGACAGCGGATCCTACTCACCTAAAAGCCGAAGCTCGGGCAAAGACCTCGGGTCGGGTCTTTGATTTTCAACGGGGTGTAGTGATGGGTGCAACACAAAGTCGTGCAGCAAAAACGAGAAATTACTACCCGGAGTATCCCCCCAGTCATCAACCCCGAGCAGACGTACATTTCCAATTACTGCTATGGTAGGCTCGAACAGGGTTAGGGCTATCAGGCTGATCGATCCCCGCATCAGTCCAGGTGTGTACACGGCCTTGATGCCGATATGTAGGTCACAGGATATCACTCGCATGTCCTGAAACGTGCAGAGTCTTGTCCTTCTCTGCTTTGTCTTCTTCCATCTTCTATGATTTTTGTTATATTCTGTCTTGACTTCTATCGCGAGGCCAATTCTCGAGACCTTTCGTCATGCGCCCAGAACCAGATTGAATTTGTTTTCGAGTGATACCCCATGACTCGCAACCAAATCCCCCGTTAAAACCACCAATTCCCACCAGTTCGCCGGATTCAGTATCTCAATCCCCACCCGGCTCTTCCACAGCTCCCCAGTCTAGCTTCCAAACGGCAGCCAACCACCCCCGACCCGACCCCCCAACTTCCATTACCGGGCATACCCATCTCGCAGCCGAAGCCCACCCTCCTCCACCTCTCTCCCCCGGCCGCAAAGCCTACATCTCAGCCCAAAACCAGCTCCTCATAGCCAACCCGCACAAAACCCAACCGTACCCACAACCACAACCACAACCACAAAACGCCAGAAACCTAAAAACAAATTCTCCAAACCCAATTCCACCCCATCCTGCACATCCCGGATATTAAATATTTGCTCTCCAGTCCAAGATCTTCTTCTGTAATCCACGAGCGAAGACGAAGCACGTTCCAGTACCGCCTTGATTTATACTGCGCCCACTACAACCGTGGGCGATGCGAGGTCCACGCGCAACACCTCACAGCTCTGGCATTCCGGAACAGACGTTGCGGTGCAGGTTACGCGCAGAGGAGGTGTTGGGACATGATTCAGCGTTTACGTAGCTGAGCCCGGTTAATCATCTGTTAGTTTAGGTTCTCAGACAGTATAAAACTAGTCTGCGGCACAACCATCATCACTTCATACTCGCTTCCGAGCATAACCTCCGACAGCACGATCACGATCACAAACAGCCTGGAAACGTCAACACATTCGGAAAGAGCACCCTCAAGTCCGCGTCCGGGGGATCCTACACACACGACAGCACAACTAGCACCCACAACGGTTATTGCACCAAGATCAACGATTCAACAAGCATGGAAGTTTCAGAATGCTTAATAAACATAACAAACAAGCCAAAACCCACCCATCACCAACCGACCAAAGTGAAAAAAAAAAAAAAGAAAGAACGCCATCTCAGTCTTGCGCCTATACCTATGCACCCATGATCCATCCATACACAAATTGTCCTGTTATAAATACTAGTGGCAAATCTCAATGGGCCAGGGTTAGGGTTCGTGGCAAATAGACAAGCCCCACCCCACCACCCCGCCGGGAAAATACGAAAGCATCGAATTCCACCCCGCAGCGACGGCTCGTCCGCCGGCAACTAACCGCGATATGTCTTCACCTACACGCGCCCATCCCATCAGCACCGTCACTCATAAACACGGGATGCAAGAACACACCGTCTCCTCCACCGCCTTCCCGCACTCGGGCACCGGACACACCGCCTGCCGCCTCTTCCCCGCGCCCTTCCCACCAACCTTCTCACGCAGCACACAGCCCTGCCACACCCTCTGGTCAGCCAGCACACACTCCCCCACCCCCGCGCACACGAAAACTCACCAAACACATCACCAGATGCCCACACGGCCTCAACACCACATTCGCCACCGTGGCATAACACAGCACACACGCGCCGACACCCACAGCCCCCACCCTGGCCCCTCCACACCCAAGCACCACCAGCGCCGTCAGCGCCGCATCCACCCCCGCCCACGCCCTCTCCGCCTCCCCTCCCGCCACCAACTCGCCCGCCAGCGTCTCCAGCAGCTGCGCCGTCCCCAGCAGCGTCACCTCCGCCGCCGCCGCCTCTGCGTCCGCCTCCTCCTCCGGCGGCGCCGCAAACGAGAGCAGGTGGTCCACAGACTCGAGGCGCGCCTCGCGCTCGCGCAGGAACGACGCCATGATGCGCTCGTCGTCGGCGTGGTGTCTTGGTGTCATGGCCAGGTCTGCGGCGCCCCACGACAGCGGCCGCGGCAGGGGCGCATGCCATGACGGCCACCAGGGCGTGTCGGTGCCTGTTGGGCCGGTCGGGGACGGTGGCGAGGGGGGGTCCTCCCACCAGCCTCTGTTGTTGGCGGGGTGGGGTGGGGCGTGCAGCTCGGCCTGCTGGCGGAGGGTCAGGGCATCGAGGTCGGCGGGGGTGCGGCGGTTCTGGGGCATGGCTGATGGTTACTTAGCGGCGGGTGGGGGGCTGGCGAGGGTGCGGGGACTGACTGAGCGTGGTGAGGTGGAGTGCGCAGGTCACGTGAGTGTGGGCGCCAAGGCCAGGCAGCAGCGACCGCGGGGGGTTGGAGTGGCGGCTTGGCAACGGCAGTGCAGCGCGGGACGGCGGGGTCACTCGGGTAGATGCGGCTAGGATGGTTCGGTTCGGTTCAGATCGATGTCGTTTGTGTGTGAAACAACGTAATCAGAGACATGGCGCGATACGGACCGGTAGATCATCCCGATAGATATCGTAGAACGTGCATATTTAAAACATGAGGACCGGATAGACTTCGCTAACGACAGCTGCTAATCTGCCCAGCCATGAAACCAACACTCGAGCTTACTTTTGTATATCGGCTTGGCATGCGCGCTAAAGCTGAGTTCTGCGCTGCCAAAGTGCATCCCGCGTGAGAATAGAAAGCGTGTAATAAGGTCCGTGAAACCGCCGCTGCATTCATGATAGGAAAGAGATGAAGGTTCTCTGCGTTCTTATACCCGTCTGCGCGGAAAGACCAGGTATCCCGGGGGCCTTGAGAACACCTGTGATATAGCTGGCCAGGACAGGAAGCACAGTCCTTGTAGTTAGCGTATATGTATGGACGTCGATCTACTATACTAACCCCCTACTAACCCCCCCCCCCAAAAAAAAGAAAAAAAAAGCGGAGGAATAATCAATTCTGGGATTGCACATTGCATAAAATTCCGAAGCTATGTACATACTGTTTCAAAATGGCTGATTTATATGTAGTTATAGCGCACCAAGCCACGGCTTATCCCAGCGTCGTGATACAAAGAGCCTCACAAACCCACCAATCACGCCTTGTACCACCACCCCTCCACATCACCCTCATCCACCCGTCCACCCCCCACCTCTACCTCCACTACGCTGCACCACCACCTCCCCAACACAACATGTCCCACCCCCCGCACCCCACCCCGCACCACACCCCCGCCACCACCCCTCCCCCCCACCCCCGCACCTGGGCCCCCACCCTCCCCACCCTCACCGCCCTCACAACGCACACCCACCCGACCACGTTCCTCCCCACCACGCACCCAACCACCCTGCACGCACTCACCCTCTCCGCCGCCGCCACCCTGCGCTCCGCGTCCACGCAGTCGGAGCTGCACCAGGCCGCGGCCATCGCCGTGGCGCTCGAGGAGGTCGTGGCCGTCCACCGCGTTGTCCGCGGGTGGATGGCGGCGAGGGAGGGTGATGACGGCGCTGTATGTTACCCCACCCCCCCCCCCCCCGGGGTTGTGTGTGGTGCTGACGGAGGGGAGAAAGGTCTTCGCAGGCGGCGATGAGGCCGCGTGTGTAGTGTGCCTGACGGCACTGGCCGAGGTGCTGATGCTGCCTTGCCAGCACCTTGTTCTCTGCACCGTATGTCCACCCCCCCCCCCGGGGTCCCCTCCCCCGGTGTTGTTGCGTGGTGCTGATGAAAAGGTGCGGAGCAGGCGTGCTGTGCCAAGATGGAGGAGGTGGGGCTGGGGCGGCAGAGGTCCTCGTATGGGAGCCGGAGGGCCGGCGGGGGCGCGAGGGATGTGACGTGTCCGGTTTGTCGGGGGAGGGTGGCGGAGAAGGTATGTTTTTTTTCCATTTCTGGGGGGCGAAAGTGGGGGGTGGGTGGATGCGTGCTGATTGCGGGGGTGGGTGGGTGTAGGTTACGGTGAAGCGGTGCTAGCTGGATTGTGAGTGCGGGGCGGGGCGGGTGTGGAGACTACGGGAATGGGGGGGGGGGTGGTGGCGCGGGAATGGGGCGGGGGGGGGGGTGGTGCGGAGGTGGACGGGTACAGGGACGGGACATGGACGGGGATGGGGGTGTTGTAATCACGACGGGAAAAGAATGTATAAGCACAAGACGATAATAAATGTAGCACGAGATGATACATACATAACCTCAGGTGCCCTTACTGTCAAGATCGTATTCAAGTCGGTATCGCTAGTATAGTGCTAATACCTTGTGTATAGGACTCTCCTTCTACATGCAAAAGTTTTATTCCCGCTGCCGCGAAATTGAGAATCTTGTGCTCTTCGTTATTGTGCTCACAGTGCTCTCCTGCACTGGGAGGGCTCATACTTTATCCCCGGCAATGCTTTGCTCTGAACTCAATGTCGATACTCAAAGTCCCCCTGAGCCTCACAGGACAACAGTATACATGTATCTCTGGGAAACTGCGCCCTGCCACAGCAGGACCAAGCGGCGATGTGTGCTACGAGACAAAGCGCTATCTTTGCTCCTGCAGTGCAGTTTGCGGTAAAGCTTTTCCAACAGTGAAATTGCCCGCCGCGTTCTTCCGCGCACAGATAATGCGGAGATGGATTCTGGTACGGGTGTAAAGTTTAATCCCGCCCATTTCTGATTTATGCAATTACCACCCCCGCGGCCCCCGCCACACAAATGTATATGATAAACCGGCACGGTCATGCTCCGAGTTCATGGATTATCACTCGATAGAGCTAACATCATGTGCTGTGCCCGTTCTGGGCTGGCTTGTAGGCGTCGGGGTGGTTTAAATGTGCGTGTATGTGTATGGGCAGCTGTCAGAGGATGAGGTTGGATTGGCGACTACATGTAGTTATGACAAAGGTTGGTTTCACCGTATAGGCTACGTGGGCTGCAACTGCGGACTTTTGGGAATGAATAGTTGTCATCTTCAGCTGTTATAATGCCGTATAAAACTATGTAGGCCCTATCGGCGCATCGCCATCTTCCTTGTTACATATCCTACGGTTCAACGGCCTACACGATCGATGCTTATTGAGTCTTGTCTTTAGTTCTTGGGCGGTATAGTGCGCAGTGCAGTGATAGACGAAAGTAATGAGGAAACGCGATCTGATGGAACTGAGATTATCAACTCGGCTACATGAAGATACGTCCCGTGGGACGGAGCTACTAAAGGTTCCCTTGATCGTAATACGGTGGGGTCCTCTCACAAAACCACCCCCACAGAGAATACGGTGTAGAGTCTCTTACTCCATGTCCTCCTTTGCCGACAACGCCACAAGTATATCCACCATGTCCCTCACCTCCTTATTCTCCCTCTGCTCCGTCGACCTGCCACCGTCAGCACCACGCATCACTGATTATGCGATTCTAGCCAGCAAGAGACTCACATTCCCGCAAACAGCCGCTCCTTCATGCCCCTCTCCCTCTCAGCGAGCCTCTCCCACCACGCATCCTCCTTCCTCTGCCTCTCCAAGCCCTCCTCCTCCCAGGTCGGCGTAAACATTCTCTCCCCCAACATCTTCAGCACATGCGGCACCATCTCCCCCCTCACATCCTCAAACTTCTCAAACTCCGCAATTTCCCACTCCTCGCCCAGCCTTACCACCAGCACATCCCCGCGCCAAAACAGCCTATCCTCGAACCTCACGCCCGCGCGGCGCGACCTCTCGACGGCGTCGCGCACAGCCGGCATGCCGAGAATCGTCTTATTGGCGGGCTTATCCGCACTGACGGAGTAGTAGAGGATGAACTCGCCGTCGAGCATAGGGAGCGGGTGCTCGGAGACGATGAAGCGGCGGAAGCGCCGGTCTTGGTAGTCGCCGGTCCAGTAGGGGCGGAGGTCGGGGACCATCTGGAACGCGCCATTGTCGAACAGGGCGGAGTGGTCGTCCTTGGGGAAGGTGGAGGGCTCGACGGTGGTGTAGGGGACGCGCGAGACGGGCGCGCCGGAGGCGGGCAGGAGGAGGCATTGGTAGGTCGTGTGTAGGGCCATTGCGGCGGCGGTGGGTGTTTCTGGTGGATTGTGTAGATGGTGGCCGGTATGTGGTGGTCGCGGGTGGAGTGTCTTCGGGGTGGATGCTATATAGGGGATGGGAGGGTTCAGGCAACCCATTGGTAGATACGCTGTGTAACAGTCATGTCAGGCCCCCCATTGAAGGTCATATAATGACATCACTAGGTATTCGGAAATGAGATCGACACTGCAGGAGGTGGGGTGATATAAATCTGTCCTATATAGTATCGACCCAAGTGACCGCGTGTTTTCCCCCAGTGTTCTGCAGCCTTCTGCACGCAGGATTTACATAAACGTAAAATGACTACAGTCGTTCACCGTCGCTGGACGAATACTGCCACTTGACGAACAGGGGACTTTGGGCCAACAGAAATTAAAAGGACTGGAGATCTCGCAGCTTGGCTGTTGCTTGCCATACTTGGAGTCCCTGTTCGTCAAGTGGCAGTATTCGTCAAGAGACGGTGAACGACTGTAGAGTGTGGGTAGATGTGCGGCTGTGAAATAGAAAACTACATACATATATGTACTAAGAAATAGTAAACCTAACCCAGCCGCACCCCCCACCGCCCTCGTTCCAGTGACTCTGATATCTGAACTTCCATGGATACCACCTTCGACTGGAATATGATCAATTCAATGGCGGCGAAGGCCTTAGCTATAGGGGTGGCCCCATCCGTTTAACCGTCTCCGGAACCTAAACACAATAAGCTCAATCGTTCCGACAAATAGATAGGTGTGTTGGGCAAAGGACAGCTAGCTAAGTACATGCAATAATACCCAGGCATCAGGAAAAAATTATATTTAGCAACCTTGTCCGATATGATTCGGTCGTATGACAAGATATAATGCCACAGTCGCAACTCGAAATGCCGGATTGCCAAGATTCGAAGGATTTCGTACAGGATCGCAAAAAATCCGGGGTAGCAAATTGACTTTGCAGTAGGAAAAATAATATTTTTAGAGGATCTTGTACGTACGGGACAGAAAGGGATCCGGTGCATTGAGTCCCGGCATATCGAGTTGCGACTGCAACTAAAGCCACCAGCCCTGCATGCCCAACAAACCTACAAAATCCCAATATCGATAAGGCCCAAGTCTCAAACATTCTCCGAAAGCCGCCCGTTTGTCCCCTCCTGCAACACAATCGTGCCACATACACACACACACACCCTGTGATACTCCAGGTTCTCCCAAACCTCATACCCGCCGTTGCGGCGCACATGCACCACTCGCCAAAGCCGCACGTAGCCTGGTACCAGCCGCGGAAGTACCGGTGGTGGGTGTGCGGCTCTTTATCGCCGGCTTATAGACTCTGTCCGGAATTCGCCGCTATGGCATGTGCAAACTTGGCGCATGGGTCCTGTGGAAACTAATGGGGATGGTGGGTCCGGATTCTAAGGGTGAGTGATATTTGATGAGTCGGAAATCGCACTTCCATCAAAAGCACCACCACCACCACCAGCTCGCAGAGGAAAAAACGCTCGTTTGTATCTTCACGTATGTACCTGTGCATTTTCCTGGCGCAAACACCACAACTGTGATCAGTCAGCCATGTGCTTTTACACCTGTTACTACCTCCGGGTATCCTGGGCAACCTACATATCTCGCATCTAAACGGGTACCGTTATTTCTGGGTTATACGCCTGTGGGCTTAAAGCAAAGTGGTGGGAGGAAAGCCAAGGAAACCTGGTGGTGTATGCATATTCCCGTAACTTAAGCCAATCAGCAAGCATCATTTCCATTCTTTTCTACCACCACCTTGCTTCAAGCCCATGTGCGTATAACTCAGAAATAACGGTACATGCAGATACAAACAAGCCTTTTTCCTCGGTGGGGTTGGTAATTCCTTTCATGGAAGGGCGGGATTTGTGACTCATCAAATATCATTCACCTGCAGAATCCGGACCCACCATCATTGGTCGCCATGAGACAGGCCCCTGTGCCAACTTAAATATGTATTATGTACATATCTCGAATCCACGCAGTGTGACTCCGTTACTGTTTGAGGAGCGTATTGATGACCCTTGCTGGGTTGGATTTCTCGGATTCCTATACCTGCTGCGTGCTTCCGGGTGGAATCACATCCCATTTTTTCCTACATGGAGGTGTGTGGATCCCAAATACCGACTATATACTCCCATGAGTCCGACTTTCAACCTCATATTCTTCAACCTCGTAACTCCTCAACCTCCTCTCCTCAACCTTGTCTCTCCCCAATCCCACGCCCCCCCCTAACCGGATCTCCTCAACCAATGTGATCAGTATCACTGTCACCTGATATAACTTGATATTTTTCGGTCGGTTTCCTTTTCCGTTAAGTACTGTTGACTGTAGCATATGGGTTGTCATCTCGGCCCATGTTCTTGATGTCCTTGGTATCGTCTACAACATTCTCAGCGTTCTCATCATTCTCGGCATTCTCGACCCTCTCAGTGTTCTCAATCACGATATGCCTATCAAATCTTAGTATACTAACAATGACTAGTTGATATTTAACCTACCTATCAACGTTTTCGTTTTTAGTACGATAGAAGAGTTTAGGGGAAAAACCTCTAGGCATTTCTGCGAGTTGTAGAGATCCGGTTGAGGAGAGGTAAGGTTGAGGATCAAAGACAATGTTGAGGAGAGGGGGTTGAGGAGCCAAGCAGGTTGAGGTTGAGGAGATGAGGTTGAGGAGAGACGAGGTTGAGGAGAGACGAGTTTGAGAAGATAAGGTTGAAAGTCGGACTCATAGGAGGATAATTTCATGATTAAGACAATACCACAGAGGAGACGCTATAGCGGCAGAAAGAAAATCAAGATGGGTTCACCGGGATATAGATGATTTAGATAAAAGATTAATGTCTTTGGAAAGAAGGCTTCGAGAGTCAATGGGGATCTAGAAGAATAGAAAGAACTCAAGGTCCGCAACTATTATTATCAGAAAATGTAAATACTACAATTTAGCAATTCAAGGAGCAAAGGGGAACCACTTCAAGTAATAACTATAGCTTGTCAGAATCACCGCAATTAACTTTTCTGGAATGATAGTCTCAATCCATACTCATAACTCCGTGCGATAGTCATATATTTATCTATGTGATAGTATGTATGTACAGCTCGATGCCGGAAGTAAGGGTAAAGCAAAGTGCATGCCTCAATCAAAATTTTCATAACTGCTCAAGAGAGGTCATGTCATGCTATATCGTGCAACCACAACTACGATGCCTAACCCCATTGATACCCAAAATCTGCAAAACAGATAGTAGGAAGTGGCCGCAGTCCGTGCTATGGCAAGGAATTCGAATAAAGCATTTTGGCGGCTCTTATTCAGCAATTACTAAGCTCCTCAAAGTACCAAGGTCAACTCTTGCCAATGCCATGGCAGGGTATGAGAAGACTGATCAAATTAAATCCACAACCAGAACTGACATACTTTCAAAAACTACTGTTAGAGATGATAGACAACTCTTCATCTCCTGTAGATGTGAGCACAAAATTTCTTATAAACAGCTCCGCCAGAATTTCGCAGTCCAAATTTCAGATAGAACAATCAAGAGGAGGCTAGCTACATTTTGTGTTCAGAAATATGGAGATCTATATGTCTCTTGGGATTTTAGAACAGTGAACGAAAAATGGCTTCCCGAGTATGTCAAGGTATTAGGAAGTCAGGAGGGGTATCAAAGATGATTTAGGTATGCTTTGCCAGGGAATTGAAAGGGACCTGTTGTGGGGTTATAGTGGGAGAATGGGTGAGAGCAAGTACAGAGTCATATATCAGGACTCTTGAGTTCTCTCTTCTGGATTTTTTGACAGAGCTACAGGAGAAGGTTATCAGGCCAATCTTCATGCAAGATGATACTAGGGTACACACTGCTAGTCTTACTACTCAAAGGTTGGAGGAGCATGGGATGGATGTTCTTGAGGATTGGCCTGCCTATTCACTTGATGTAAATCCCATTGAGAATGTTTGGGTACACCTCAAGAAGCTCTACTATCAACACTACCCTCAATTGGCATATGATACTAGATCACCTCAAGTATTAAAACCCTCATGGAGGAAGCTCTTATTCATTGCTGGGAACTGTTACCTGATGATTCATTGGTTAGGCTGGTTGAAGTATACCTAGGAGAATAGAGGCTGTTATAAAGGCAAGGGGTTGGTACACAAGATATTAAATGTCAAATTATTTTTATTTATGTACTATTTAACAACTATACAAAAAACCAGCTTTCAAAAGGATCAATTGGGTTTGCTGTGGTGTTACTCGTAATAGCACGGGTTTGGGTCGTGGATGGGTGCGGGCGTTGCGACGCCGCGTCTGACCGTGACATATGGCCTACAAATATACATATGTGCTAGCGCGCTACAAAACTCTGCCTACCTGCCTTCCTACCTCCGCGCCTGACTGCATATATGCCTACCTACCAGACCCTCCGCTCCTTCCTTCCTCCAGGCCTGCATCCCTGCGGGCCTACGGGCTAATTATGTACACTGTTGTTAGGCACAATGGTTGAGATTACTTAATAATACATTAGTTCATACAGCAGTGCAGTAGCGGAAGCTAATGTATAGCGAGGTGCAATTGTAGTAGCATGGCGTTTGGACAGGTCAATGGGGCAACTGGAGTACACGCTCGAGAGTCGTACTCGTATATGATTGAATACGTAATAGGCAAGAAAGGCTGATTCCCCTTTCGCAGAAGAGCTCTCAGTGCTTCAGAGCTCTGAATCAGAAGATCACAGAGCGCATTCCACATATCACTCGCTAAATGCTTTCGGGAAAATGTTTAATATCCGACTTTATCCAGGAGAGCATATCAGTTACAGAGAGTTTGTATGGGCAGGAAGGAAAGCGCGAGTTCCAGGTAGCTGCCGAGGAACAATAGATGGTGTCCTTCTCACCGCATGAAGTCCTCCTACAGTTGAAAAGTGATAGATGGAAGGTATGAGGATGCAGGATTCGATAGAACTGAGAGAATTATCAATTTGGCTACATAAAAATACGTCCCGTGGGACGGAAGGCGATGCTAAAAGTCCATTCGTTGCCCGCAACAATATGGTGGTTTGAAATAAAAACGCCACCATAAACATATAGATATAGAAATGATGTTTTTACCCAAACATTCCTCAGTAGTTTCGATGGACAACTCTCACCCACAGCCCATCTTGCCTTCCTGTTCCTTTTGTTCCAACTCCGCCAATCCCACTTTACTCATCATCCTCACCCTCCTCCTCATCCTTACCCTCATCCTCATCCCAAACGACCTCTTCATCCTCGCCCTCCTTCTCATTCTTGCTCTCCTTTTTATTCTCGAGCTCCTCCTCCATCTTACTCCTCTTCAACTGCTTCAGTATCTCATCATCCTCCCCCATCTTCCGCCTCTTCACCCTATTCATCGTCAACACCACCGTCTTCATTCCCCTCGCCCTCTCCTTCCCCCCCTTGCTACCAAACATCTCATTCTGACTCTTCTGATACTCCAAAAACCCATTCAGCTAATTACTCACTACCAGTACCTCCACCATCTCCACCACCTCCTCCATAATGGCCACCTCTATATCTTCAAACACCGCCCTGCACCCCGTATCCAGCCACCCCTCGCCCAGCCGTACCACAAACACGTCCTCGTAGTAGAACATATAGTCGAATATCTCACCCGCGTGGAACAACTGCTTGAGCACGGTGCACACAGCACGCATTTGAGCAGCATCCTGTTGGTTGACCAGTCCGCGCCACCTCCTGCGCAGTAGTAGATGAGCAGCTCACCGCCAAAGTCCGGGTACATCACGTACCGCTGCATCAGGCAATCCTGGTAGTTGCCGGACCAGTACGGGCGCATGTCAGCGACATTATCGAAGGCATTGTCATCACCCTCAGGATGGTGGCATTATCAATGGCGGTGTAGGAGATGCATTGGATGGAAGGTACCATCGGCAGTGAGGCGGAGGCAGTGGTAGGTTGGTGCTGGTACCAGTGGGGGCATGACGGTAGTAAGCGTTAAGGGTAGGAGAGGGTAGGGTAGGGTAAGTTGGGTAGATTAGATGGTAGTTGGAAGTAGAATTGGGGGTACACCTAGATAGCTAAGCTGGTGGGATAGGGTGATGGGAGAGGTACGTATGAAGTCAGGCAATACATCGGTAGTACACATGTGTAACACCTTAGATTGAAGTTGATGAAATCATGATCACCGACAGCAGTTGTAAATATTATGAATTTGAGGGTTACAGGTCGAGCGAGCCTGGACTATTCGTGCAATGGCAGTCATTCCGACCTGGGAATATTAGGTAAATAAAAGATGTGATCCTGGCGCCTAAGTGGTGCACAGGATATCACTCGTACCTTGCGCCAAGCCGTGTCCACAAGCTGCCAAGGCGTATCAAGTAAGGTACGCCAAGACACCGTACCTACTTTCACCAGAACGCAGAACAGAGAGACCTCCAACACCCCCTGATCACCCAAATAGCTGATGGCCTTCGAACCGCCTGTCCGGGGGGGGGGATCAGCAAATCCGCACATTGCACACACTGGCGCCTGTGTACCTCAACGCCAACGATCACACCCCAGGGTTCAATACATAGTTCGACAGCACGGAAATCCTGCCGATACATACGACAGGTTCGACATCAAACACCCCCCCCCCCCCCAAGAGGGACTATAGTAGCAAGCAACGATGAGACTACTGTGCATTCATGACAACCCTAGCATCGCAACACCCCGCTGTCATAATCTGCAAAGATACCTTATAATTACCCCCGGACACCGAGTAGCCGCGAAGACATGCGGCGGTATCTTGCTTGTGCCGCTGCAGGAGGGTTTCTACGCGGGGTTGGTAGCAAGGTGTGTAGCGTGGGTAGAGAGAATCGCTTGGTTGGAGGGCGGAGTGTGGGAAGGTGGTGTTTTTTGGGGAGTTCTATGCTGGGGTTGATACCGTGGGGAGAGGGGGGGGGGGGGGCAGGGTGCGTGGTCTTGATCGTGGGCCCGGGGATAGGGTGCAGGAGTGGGGTTTCGGGTTTCTCAATTGGGGATACGTTCTACGTGCTCCGTGGGGGCAGGGCTGGCGAGGCAAAGCGGCAGCTGATTGCGGAAAACAGAGCACGGATATATCCAGAGAACTGTTACAACACCGGGCTCCCAGGTGCAATCGACAAGGACACTCGATGTGAGGTTCGGGGGTCTCCTCCAGGCTCAAGGGTCGGTACTGTTGCCCTCAAGGCCGATATTAACGGAGCGCAAGAAGTGGTATACCCTAAACTAGAAAAGAATGGCCTCACCCGAGCCGGGCAGGCTAAGCTCCGGATTATTTTGGCCCACTGTCTATGTCTGGCATGCATCGAGGACGTGGCCGCTCGTCTTCGTACTGTTGAAAGCCCTGAGCATACGGAACGCCACCAGCATGCAGATTCCCGAAGATGTATTGCAAACCTGGTCCAATACTTTGATTAGAAGAAAAGATACTCGGGCGTAAAAATGGTGCTATAACCATTGAACATCTGTACCCCTAAGACTCAAAGTTTCTTTCTACTCGCAAATCCTACAATCGTTAAACTTCTACTCTTGTAATACAATGAGGTACGCACTGTTATAAAGAAATCTTGGATGTACTTGACGCCGCCGGTAGTGTGGTCCATGAGTCGGCCGTAGTCGAGCCGGACTAAAAGGTCGAGCTGGCTCAGCTCAATGAGAGGTAGAGCTCACAGAACTCGAGCTTCTAGTACAGGCCCGTGATACAGATGACGCTTGCGGTCAATGCCAAGATTTCTCCCTCCAAAAGTTGGAGACATGGAAAAGCAGCGAGATTGGCGAAAGTGGTTTCAATAGTACCAGCATTACCCCTAAGTCCTCAACGCATAAAAATCATTATAGATACCAGTTTCCAGTTCTCACCTCTCAAATATCTAGTTGAAGTATGGTATCTTTGGCTCGAAGCTCGTGTAATCATGGAACAGGCTCAATTAAGACAGCTCGGCTCATGGAGAGGTAGAGACCACTCTTGCTCTCAACTGGCGTGGAAAGAACAACCTTAGTATAGCTTGACAAGGGTGAGGGACGGTGTGGGTGTCCGCAGGAAGCTTTGGAATGGTGGTCCAACCCCCGTCAAAAATAGGCAGAAAACTACACATACTCCGCTAGGTTATAGATAATACCGATCAGCTTTCAGAAGGCAGCATCTGGCAAAAACGCACATCCGGGGTGGTTGGAACTCTTTCTTCCTCATCATGGAGTCCCCGAGTTTGCTGTACGTTGGTGGGACTGCTTGACGTTGGTAAACAGGGTTAGGGTTGGTGATGGTCGCTGGGGTGGGGTGGTTTGCGGTCTGTCAGAGTCTGGTAGGGGTAGACAGCAAGGTACATCGCGATATTCGAGAGTACGAGAGCGTATATTCTAAATATATTAATCATTCCTGACCTCGTACCCAGTCTGGTATTTTGTGGTTGCTGTGGTGCCAAGACATTCTGCGAAACCCGGCGCAAATACCAAACTTTGGCAGAAATGTACAGATTCTGGTAGAATTAATGCGAAAGTGGGTTTTCCGTGACCCGATAGTCCCATTGGCTCTCAAAGGAATTTTTGCAGTGAGCACGGGCCAAGAAACCCACCCTTTTAGTTCTGACTTTCGCAATAATTCTACCGGATACTGTAGTGTGCGTTAATAAACTTGCTCGATTTATCTAAATACCAAAATAGACCCTTTATATAGGTGGGCATTTATAGGCGGGCAGGAAAATAGGATATCGACTGTGGGTGTGTGCTGGTGACGGTTTATGACTGTGTGGGATTAGCCGCAACTAGGCTAGATTGATAAGGGTCAGGGTTGAAGATAGGAACACAGTAAACGACTAGCTTAGGTACAAGGTGGCAGCAGCAGTTTAGTTGTACTTAAAGAGAGAGGTAGATTGGGATAAGGATGGTCGAGTTATTCGATATGATAACGAACACATTACATGGAATGGGCAAGCATTTATGTTATTTGGCGAATATCGGAAATCTATATAAAGATCATCAATTGATCAAAGAGGTATGGCTAGTAATTGCTACCTTCAATGAAATATATGTACTAATGTATCGATCAACAGGCACTATGCTCTGTCTATGGAGATTTACTTTGCGTATGTAGAAAGACTCGACAGGTTTATCTTTCAAAGAACGGAAATCGCGATCGTAGGTCCTTGGCGATTCTAAAGACTACAAACTAGGCTGACAGGTTTTTTGTTGTAGGCTTTACCTCTGCAAAAGCAATGTTTGGAACAAAAGCGTCACTACGGGACGATCTCACGATCATATATAATCAGTTCAAGGACCATATTGACATCGTAATCCGTACAATCAATATAGAGGAGCTGAAGAGACAGAAGGAGAAGGGAGAAGAAGACGAAAAGAGACGCCGGATCGAGGAGGAAGAAGATGAAAAAAAACGGAAGCTGAAGGACGAAGAAGAGAAAGTAAAGGCTATGGGTAATTACATCGAGCATATGGTTCAGCAAGAATCCCTACTAAACAAAATAGAACAAGCAAAGGTCAGAAGCATAGAGGTACGTGGTGAGCTGTTATCTTGGCTATCACCTTTCGACTTCGAACAAGATCACGACCGGATAAGAAAGAAGCAATTCCGAACCACGGGCGAGTGGCTGTTGAAGTCGCCAGACTTTCTGGCATGGATCTCCTCTATCATGTCTTGTCTGCCATGGTGCCATGGAACTCGTAAGACTACCAAACCCTTCAAATTAGAGCACGTGCTAATCTTGAAAAAGCGGGCGTTGGGAAGTCTGTTTTAACGTATTTATTCCCCAGTACTTTTTTTGTTTGAATACCGTTAACATATCTCTCTCAGATCTATCGTCCTAGAGCATATTCGTGATACTATACCCGTCACAGATTCATCCCACATCTGCTTCGTCTACTTCAACTACAAGGTATTGGAAGTTCAGCGTCCAGCTGATCTTCTTTGCATCTTACTAAAACAGCTCTGCCGTCAGTTGACTATTCTCCCTGATGACATGATCGATCTCTACGAAAAGTGTGATGCAAATAAAGAGAGACCAAGGCTACAGTCCCTTGAGGCAGTCCTAGAAGGGATAGTCTCTAGGTCTCAACAGACATTCTTGGTGATTGACGCCATGGACGAATGCGTCAAGGAGCACAGAGAATACCTCCTCCCATATCTTGTAAAGCTTCTACAGGCACCATCATCCCGACTTAAGGTCTTTGTTACGAGTAGGGTTGAGAGAGATATCAGAATCACGTTCTCTAAGGGATTCGGCAAATTGAAGGTAGAAGCTAAAAAGGTCCAAGATGATTTCACCGTATATGTCGATAACTTCATCGAAAGCCGCTCTGAGGAGGACAACCTCTGTTAGATATCGCCACAGTTGAAGGAAACAATCAAGGACTGCCTTCTCTCTCAGTCGAATGGAATGTAGGAAGGTCCCATTGTTCAATCTATTCTGGAATTAGTATTCTAACCGTCGAGAAAGGTTTCTCTGGGTTTATTGCATGTTAGAGTACATCTACAGCTAACCATCTGCTGCTGATATCCTGAGGGAATTGCAATCGCTTCCGGCAGATATCAACGACTTGTATCACCGTATCTTTAAGAAAATAAATGCCCAGTCGCCTGCTATGAAGGAGCTTGCAAGGCGCGCTCTGATGTGGACAGTCCACGCAGCCGAACTGATAAACGCATTTGAATTGAAAGCCCTCCTCGGAATCGAGGAGAGAACAAAGACGTTGGAGGAAGCAGCACAGAAGTACAAGACACAAACCATTGTTGACGCATGTTTCAACTTGTTGAGTGTGGATAAGGGTGGTTATATGCGCCTTATGCATCAAACCACCCAAGAGTTCCTGAATGCGCATACATACTATGTCAAAAAACGGTCTGATGAACGGTCTGATGAACGGTCTGGTGAACGACTCAAGATATACGATGTTAATCCACCAAGCCCACATGTGGAAATGTCCCGATCCTGTATACAGTGTTTGGATTTGGATTATCCGGGTTGTGTCTATAACGGCCTTATACCCGATATGATGGCGGTTATTTATGCAGAAGAGTATCCGGGTTGTGTCTATAACCTCCATCTACCCCCCACTATGCGACTTAATTATGCAGATGTGTATTGGCATTACCATATGGAAAAGATCATGGATGAGCATGAGGACATCCCTCCAGGTATATTAAAGCTGGTCAAGAAGCTCATGGATGAGTATCCGTATCTCATTTGGTCTGCGATCCGTCGAGATAGGCACTCGGTTGTCAAGGTCTTGCTTGTGAATGGCATCGGCCTCATGCCCAAGGACTATGCTATGAAGTCTAAGTATTTGGGTCCGAAATCTAATCACATCCTTCCTGAGAGATGGAGATTAAGGTCGTTAGAGGAATGTACGCCTACCATGATGAACTTACTATTAGATCACGGTATGGATCCAAACTTAATATTGCCAGAAATCGATCTTCCATTTCTTTCCCGGATGATCTCTCTCCGTGATGCTGCGAGAGCAATAATTCTCATCCAAAGGGGCGCCGATACAAGCAGGGTTTATAAGGGCTACAATCCACCACTATCTCATGCGATACGTCTTGCGTTAAATCAAGTTGTTGCGGTACTTCTTGAGTATAATGCAAACCCAAACTCTGTTAATAGGAGTGGGTTTACACCACTCATCTTTGCAGTCAAATACAACAATCTCTCTGCAATGAAAAAGCTTATAGAATATGGGGCCGATGTCAATTATGGAACTAAGAGTGGGACTGCATTATCTCTAGCTATGGAACTTACGGGAGAGAATGATGAGAGGGTTTCGATTTTGCGGAAGCATGGTGCTAAGTATGACCCGGAAGATGATTATGAGTTACCCAGATGGAGTGAGTACTTGTTCAAAGACCGAGTTATCGCACTGCCCTTGGCCGTATTGGTTCGATCGTTCAGTTTTAGAAGTTTGATGTTTACATGATTTCGGAGTGTATGAGCCGGAGGTGAAATAGCCCCTAGATTTTGCCTCTTGTATTTTCTTAGTTTATATCTGTCAATATATGTTTTCTACTTGGTATTTCATTTGTCATTACTTGAGCATTCTCCGGTAGTTCATGGTGACCCGAAATAGACTATTAATTCATCCTATGATATATCATTGATTTATGGACAGAACGGTGTCGCTGGTAGGAAAAGGGAACACAAACAGAAGAGTACTTGCTTACCACGAAAAGAACCAGAAAATGCGCGCGCCGATCCGAAATCTTGACAGGGGTTTCGGACCGGGGTCTGGCAGGGATCTGGTATCAAATTATACTGCCGTGTTATAATGCAAATGAGAACGAATGCAAACGGGAACAAGTGCAAACGGGAGCGAGTAGAGGAAATAGAGAATAAAAAGCCATTCTAGTTGTGTAAAAAACCCGTAGAACAGATTACTATTCCTCTATCAATGGCTATCAAAACTCATGAAGTCTCTTACAAGCAACGCTGCTATATTCATGCACTCCGGTTCAGGGCTTATTGGACCTTTCAAAAAATTGCTAGCAATCAAGGCTTAGTGTTAGCACCATCTTTGCCATCTGTCGAGGACCAGCAACTCCTAAAAAAAAGAAAGGAATACCTTGCAAAATCGATACCTCAACCCGTAAAGCTTTAGTTCAAAGAGTTACCCTCGACACCGAGAATCGCCGGAAACCTCTATTCCAAATCGCTTCCGAAGAAGGCATAAATGCCAGCCAAGAAACAATTAGGCGTGCCTTTCTCAAGAGGGTTATGTCCGTCGCATTGCACGCAAGAAGGTATATTTGACGGCTGCACATAAGATGAGACGGCTTGAATTTGCCCGTCGTCATCAAAACTGGACCGTTACAGACTGGAGGAAGACAATCTGGACTGATGAATGCTACATTTGGTTGAGTGGGTCAGCCGGTAAAACCTATATCACACGTAAAACAGGTAACTCAATACAATATAATAACCGTTAGATAAACTTGAATAAATTACTAATTAATTCAATAGGTAAAGAAGAGGTTTTTGAAGAGGACTGCATCGTCCCAAAGTTCAAAAAATCGAATTCAATTATGATATGGGCAGCGATTGTAGGAGGTACCAAATCTGAGTTAGCATTCCGGAATTTTTTTCTTTTTTCATAATACCTAATTCATATACAGACTAGTATTCTGGGACCGGCCAAATTGGGGCACTATTAATGCAGAGATCTATATCAACCGTGTTCTGCAACCTGCACTGCACCATTTTTGGTTCCACAGCTGCTTGGACTTAGGTGGCTGGCTTTGGGTAATAGAGGATGGTGCACCAGCTCATAGAGTCAAAAGTACTCAAAAACAGTGAGATTGGTACAATATGCCCTCCATTGACTGGCCAGCTGATTCTCCAGACTTAAATCTATTCGAAAATGTCTGGGGATTGTTAAAGGGTAGATTGGGGGCAAGATATCCAAACCCTAGTGGTAATGATGAGATGAGAGCTGCTATTTTGGAAGAGTGGGCAAAAATTACCCCACAGGAAATCCTAAAGTTCGTTGATACAATGCCTGAGAGAATCGCTGCTGTTATTGCGAATGAAGGTGGACTTATCCGTTGGTAACTGTTGAGGTTCAGGCGGCACCCATTGTTAGCCGTGGAGGATCAGTTCAGATTTCTTTTTCGGCTTTTTTCTGTCTCTGCTCACTCTACTATCTGTATCTACTGAATCAAATTGCTATTAATTCTACCTCTTCGTGAACAACTGAGGTTGGTCACATCCCAGTCCGAAACCCCTGTCAAGATTTCGGATCGGCGCGCGCATTTTCTGGTTCTTTTCGTGGTAAGCAAGTACAGGTGAAGGGGACCGAGAAGGTACAAGGCCACCAATAGGATCAGAAGCAACCCACGCTGACAAAAAAGCAAAAAACTAGATGCAGGCCAATGATTGCCGCTCGTTTGATTCAGGTCCGGTACTGATCGACAGCGGGGTGAGCCAATCCTCTAGTGCCGCAACCTTTGGCCCCCACGCAAGATAATTTATCGCAAGACCAACAGGCTTGGTTGATGTTTCATGCCCCACCCTTGTACGAAATCACGAGAAGTTTTGTCAACCCGCAATAATTAAGACTTGCAGGTTATCCCTTGGACGGATGAAACTCTCAAATTCGCAGCCTGGACCGTGCACGCACCTAGTCAGGTAACCTTCTTGCTTTTTGTGTGCGGGAATAGTAATACAGCCAATCGAAAATCAGCACGAGTTACTTAATAGGGCTAGTATTATCTGAAAGAGGGAAGCTACGAATTTGAGAGTTTCATCCGTCCAAGGGATAATTAAGGATTAAAGCCGCCGCTTACCAAGTAATTCCGAATTGAAAGAACAACTATTGCTACCTAGCGTAGTAGTATAATATGAACCGTAATGATAAAGATAGCGGGCAAGTACTCCCGCTCCGCCGAACCAAACATGACACAAAAAACCAAAAGAAAAAACCAAAATAAGCTCAAAGTCTTACATCCCACAACCCCAAAATCCCAAAGTCATAAATCCCGCAAACTCGTAAACACCGTAAATCAATAAATCCAAAGAACCACCCCAAATCCCAAACCCCAAGCCCCCTTCCCCCACCACACCCCGCACCCACGCTATACCCCCGCAATCTCATCCTCCGTACCACACTCAAACGGAATAATCCACCCCTTCCCACCCCTTCCCTCCCTTTCCCTCTCCCACTATCCATTCACACACACCCCACGCATCCCCGGCGGCTGCGTAGTGCTTCTCCCCATCATAGCTCTCCCCCTCCTGTAGGAACGGCGTGGTGCGGAGCACTTCTCGCAAGCTGCGCGGGGGTCTCTACCTGTTTTACACCCCCAATTAGCACTCTCCTTTATCCCTTGCCTTCCCCCCCCCCCCCCCAAACCGTTAAAACCACCACCGCCGCACCCCTCCACCCCACCCGCCAAAAAAGAAAAGAAAAACCTACATCTCAAAACTTCATCCCCAGCCACCCCCGTATCCAGCTCTGGCCACTCCTGGCGCGTTCCTTACCACCGCCTTCCAGTCCTCTTTCACAAATAGCCTCTCAACGGCCGCGTCGATGACGAAAGACTGCGCAAGGCCGGGGGCGCGCACGAGGATGTCTTGCGCGTAGGCGCCGGAGGGGGTGCCATTTTGTGGTTGGCATCATTTGGTGGTACGCCGCGTTATTTGGCGTTGTGAGCGGTGGTGTAGAGGAGACAGGGGAACTGCAGTGGTGGTTGGCAGGGTGGGCGGTGGGATGTATGTTGGTGCCAGGGAGTAGGAGGTAGACGGCGGCGTGATCTAGACGACGAAGCGGGCGATGGTGCGCGCGCGGGCTGTTTCCGGCGCTTCTTTATGGCTGCTTCTTTGGGCGGTGTCTAACAGGTCAGCTCACTCCCCTACATCCTACCGCAGCGACATCACCTTCCTCTTCCTCCCTCCCCCCTCCCCCTTGCCCTCCCCCTTGCCAACAACCCCCCTTCTCCAGCACCCCAACAGCATTTACACATCGCCATTTATCGTCATGTTCGCCGTCCCGTCACGGTGGCCATCCCTGCCTCCGAGGCTCAGCTCCTTGACATAGCCGTCGATGGTGTGCTGGTACGTGTTGTCGTTCATCTTCGCCGGCGGCGGTGGGGGTGTGGTTGTTAGGAAGTGTGTGATGGGGGTTATGTGTGAATAGAATAGTGGGCTGCCATGGTGGGGTGCTGGCGTGGCAGGGGTAGCGAGGGTGGTGAGGGTGATGAGTCAGCGCGGATCCAGGCTTGGCGGTGGACCCCGGGGACTTGCGTCTTAACCACTCGGCCATCGTGATGAGTCAACGTGGATCCAGGCTTGGCGGCGGACCCTAAAGACTTGCGTCTTAACCACTCGGCCATCCTTGGCGTCTGCGGCTCAAAGTGAAAGACAGGTTTAAGGGCTTGGCATGGACAACAAACTTCGGTTGTGGGGCGCGGGTAGCAGGGGTAGGGGTCGCCGGGTGTAAGCGAGCCTCACGTGGACGGTGGGGCAGCAATGATAGTTTTGCCGTTTTGAATAACCGTGACGCGCAACCAATAAGCGGGGAGCTGTGAGGAGGTAGGGCGGGGTGTTTGGTGCGTTTAATACCAGTGTAGAGAGCTGCCATGCCGGTACGTAAGTGGTGTAGCGTACCAATCCGGCCGCAGCCAGGCAGTCCTCACTGCTATACCAAATGGCCAAAAAAGCCACAACGAACGGGTTTTGGCGGAAGCTTATCTGCGATATAGCAAACAATGTCGCCGACACTGTCAATGTGCCGTGTTGAAGAGGGGAACGGGAAGTTTCGGGGTGTTGGGTGTGCGGATGCGCTCTCACGGGGGTGGCGGAGGTGGGATGGTTCGGAGATGGTTCGGGGATGCTTCGGGGATGGTTCTGGAATAATCAAGACTGGTAAGATGTGAGCTACCACGAGAATCTTTCAGTAACTCGGAGCCGCCATGGTTATGGCGGTGGGTGGGGAGTGCGCTCAGGAGAGAGAGCGGGAAGGGGCCATTAATTCCCGCGCGCCCTGAAAGCTGAAAGCTCCCCTTGAATTCAATTTCAGTTCCGTGCCAACCTCTCTCTCAGCATCACGCCCTAAACGCACCACCATCCAACACCCCCCCTCCCTCCCTCCCTGCCACGTGTTAGGGTTCTTCGGTCATGGGGTCTCACTCGCCGCCAAGATATCCGTCACTGCGACTGCGACTGTGGGCAGAAGATACGGGGGATTGCAACTGACATACATTATCGCAGTACTATGATGGCGGGCTTTTAGTAATATTGCAATTAGCCCACCTCCCTCCTTCCTACTTGGTGAGTGGGAGTCATGATGTGTCACTCGGTGCCAAGTCAACCTCGGCTAAATGTTGCCGCAACTAGTGCCCCGACCTGAGCTATTTGTTTTTCCCCGAGCGTTTTCTGTTTGTATCACCCCCGCGAGACCAAGCTCTAGCAGATAACAAGCCACGATCCCGCTTCTCCGGATTCTCATACCCGGATACCAGAACGCCGCTGCGCTGACAGGAGCGAGCACACAAACAGTAATGACCTCTAGCCGGAAAATCTGTACAACCCCGCCAATTAACCTCTACAAGCACAAACCTAAACTTATCCCCAGCCCTCCGAAACTATAGCTGGCGAGCCCATCCCGGGGCAGCACGAAAAGGCCGAGGGAAGCATCGAGACTTATCTTGTCTTCTCATCCCCCCCCCCCCCCCCCCGGGGGACCGGTCCGTCTTATTTCGCCAAGCTAGTCTCATCCAGTGCTCGTCATACACTAGGAGTAGCCCTGCTTCTACATCCTCAGTGGTTTCTGTCGATTCGCCGCTGATGAAGCGTTCCTTATCTGCGGACGGTTACTTAGTAGTATCCGAGAGGGTAAATCTAAAGGGTTTAAAGGTGTCTCCCCGGGGGGGGGGGGGTGGAGGACGACAAAACTATCTTCCCCACCAGGCCAGATGTATCACTATTCTTCTCTCTCAATCTTGTGATTCACATCATGGGTCTAATCAAAACACCACACAACCATGGAAATCGATAACAGGATGATCTCGAAAGCTACCAATTCTTCAGAGAAATGCTTTGCACCTGAGGATCCTACATTAATTCGTCTTAGTTGGACTTGCCGGCAGATGTGCTAAGTAGTTGGGGGTTTCGGGTGTGGATCTTGTGTCCAGTGGGTGAAGATCGGTGCTAAGCTTGTAGCCTAGCTAGTATCACCGCTGGGTGCCTAGGAAACGGGAAGGGGTGATGGAAATCACACTAAAGAAAGGACACATCCTCCGCGAAGAGTGTACAAAAACACAATTACACATGCAGCGTTGAATTTCACCTTACCCTACCGGAGTCCGCTCCAGCCTTTCGCAACACCCCCCCTCAAAGTTCTTCCACCACGCCCGGCAAAAGCCCCCTTCAACCCCCACCAGACCCCCGAAGAGCCCCCTAGCATCCAACGCCCCCTCATATCTCAAAATACCATAATCCACCTCAAAAGCCCCCCCAGAACACAGAGCAGCAAGACAACGTGGCCGAGCGGTTAAGGCGTCAGACTTGAATTTCTCATTCTATTCAGTCATCTGATTCCTTCGGGAGCGTAGGTTCAAGTCCTGCCGTTGTCGTTTCTTTTTTTTACTTTTTTTTTTTTGTGTGGAAATCGGAGTAGTGGATTTTGATATGGAAGAAATGGTGGATGAGGGTTTGGGTTGGTTTGTGGGTTAGGGTTCTGGTTGGGTTAGGGTTGTGATTGGGATCGGACCGTAGCTGGTTGGAGGCGCGTGGGGATGTGTCTGGCACATTGGGATATCCAGCTACGACTAGAAGGAGTCGTTAATGCGGTGATAGTGGTAATTGATACTTGAATTCTTGGTGGTATCAGGGCGGCCGGGCGGGCGGCCGGGCTTACACTAGGTTCAACACCATAAATGCAGGCTCTGAAAACTTAGTCCGCCGTGACCATAAGCAAGCAGTATACGGAGATGTGGCGGATTCCACCAAGTCAACTCGGCAGCCTCCCCGGTGATCCTACAATCTTTGAGCGGCCTGGGTCATACGCCGGTATCGGGGGTTGGGATCTTGGCATGTGTGGCTTGCTTGCGTTGCGGGCGGGCAGGGAGTGCAGGTTTTTTCATAGTGTGAGACATCCTGAGAGGGATGAGTACATAGGGGACGAGTATAGTCTAGTTGAGAGAACACAATGTAACATAGGTTTTGGCAAGAGGCCAACGTGTACCATTAAGTTAGGATAACAGCGGAAGACCCTTTCTCCCTCGAATAGCCATCATCAATAGAAGTAAAAGTCATTGTGCCCAGTACGTGTCACTTCAGTTCATGTCTTAACGTAAACACTTCGCTAATCCAGCCGGATACCGACTGTGTAATTTGTTTTTATCCCATATACATGTAGAACACATTTACTGATCAATTTACTGATCAATTAACCGAGTAATTGAGTGATGAATTAACAGATAGATCGTTGATTGACCTCGTAATAGACTGACGACGGACGACGGATGAATTACGTGATTCGTTGACTGACGAATTAAGTATTTCGTTGATTCACCAATTGATTAACTAATTGATTGACGAATTGATTGATGAGCTGACTGGTTTGTTGATTGACTACATGTATTTGGTTGACTACTTCACCAACGAATTCACTAATTACTTGACCGATGAATGGACTGACGAATTGACTGATAAATTGACCGACGAATTGACTGACCAAACATACAAAGTCTCAAGAGCTGCATGCTTCGAGTAAGGTTATCAGTAAAATCGTAAAGTGGGGCCGATGCATTAGATGGATGCATTATTCTAGGGTAGTACACGCAAATCACGGTGCAAAAGAGGGGATCCACTTACCGATGCATTATCACGATACATTTCCCACCGTAGTAGAGATTGGCGTTGTGCTGGTGACAAGATCCATTGGTTCATAACTAAATTAAGGCGCCCATGCGTGTATTTTTGAGCCAATAGAAACTGCAGACCATCTTTATTTTCGAGTAGCATACCGCAAATACTCGATACATTCGCTAGCGCCGTTTGCACCAAAAAGTACCCAAAGTGCTGTTTTTTTGGTGTGATAAAGAGCAATAACGCTAGCGAATTTATCGAGTATTTGCGGTACTCTGAATGTATTCCCAGATATTCGATACCGCCCACACAAATAATGCATGCTATATGTACTCGGGGCATGCAGGGCGCTAGTTAGAGAAAACGGCGAGTACTCTAGTAGAGAGACAACTGTAGTTAGTATCAGGTAATTACACGTGATGGCTAGTTGTAGCTAGTGTGCCTGTACGATTGGGCGTTGCAGGTTATTTTCTGTAGTTCCCTAGAGTCTCATCTAGATCGATCACGAATACGAATCGATATGAACCAGAGACAACTGATGATATTAAGAGGTTCTAGTCTAAGCTTGCGTGGTGATCTAAATCTAGTCTTCTAGCTACGTCTTCTTTTCGCCTCTGATTACGTTGGTTCTTGTCCTTAGCCACGGCCGTGCGCCACAGGGTAGAGTTACTTGATTTATTCCGGGAGCCGAATTAGGTCCCTTAAATACTACAGGCCAAGAAAAGAGAGAGCATAGTACAGAGACTAGTACGGACAATAGTAGAAAGGAGAAAAGAAAAACAAGCTAGATCGCACTAGATCATAGTGACAGAATCTCTGTATCCCTTTGGCCGGTGAGACACACAGAATCCAGGACTTCCTATCTCAGTAGTGATTTTCAGTGGCAAAGTCACTGAGCCTGATGCTTCATCACTAAGCCACGCTCTATTATTCGAGGAAACGTGACTTGGCTTTGCTTGAATAGGAAGTCCTGGATTCTGCGTGTCTCACCGGCCCAAGGGATAGGATAAAGGAAGAGTGGTCGCCTCCCCTGTTCTCATCATCAATAAAGATAGGTCTAGATTAGAACCTATTACAGGGCAGGCAAGAAAACGACATCTGATTAGCGGCTGGCGATAAGGTATGTAAGCCCCGACTTGCAGCTCGCGTTTTCAGGTGCTGATTTATGTGTGCCCCGAGTAGCATAAATTCCCTTTTACCATGCGCCAAGCTAGCGTTATTGTATTTGCATCCACTTTAAACACTTACGCACGCGATCGACCTGACGAAGCTGCGTGTATTCCTTTTGATGCAAGACTCAGCTCGTGTTTATAAATTAAACAACCGGCTAGGAATTAGTGTGGTCCACAAGGCTACTCAAGGCGAGGGGAGACAAGTGCTCGAGGTGCCTCTGAGCTACCTCGTGTGGTCCATACCTTTGCTTGCTCGTTAAAAAATGGGGGATGCCTCTAGGTGCTCGAGCTGGTTCGAGGCAAATAATTACTATATTTAGATCTGTCAAGGTCGTATTTATTGTAATACAGGAACGCAAATGTAGGGAATGTCCTATGATCACAAACATCAACCCTATTGAGTATATGCCACTAATACTATAATTACCTAAACCTCGAGCAGCTCGAGGCGAGCAAGAGAGTTTGCCTCGAGCATGCTCGCCTCGTCGACCCCTATGCCTTAAACTCCCTGGAGGCAGAGGCCTCAAGGCAAGTCCTGGAGCATCGATGCCTCGTAGACCACAGTACTAGGAAGGTATTGATTCATATGACCTTTTAGGCGGCCAAGTTCCTAAACTAGGTCAGCTGACAATGGTAGATGCAAAATGTCAAAACATTTATGTCTGATATCATATTCTAGTGTGTTACATAATTAAATTCTGGTATATCCGGCCGGATCGATCACCACGTTTTACTTTCCTAGTGCAGGGAGCTGTTACTAGTGATAGATGAAGAAATCCTATAACCATATCTATCTCAGCGACTGTACGGATGTCCTGTAGTTTTTACTACGGTATCTTTTGTTGCGTTGTACTTTGTCCGGTCCGAGTAAAATTAATTAAGTATCGTTGGCAGTAACAGCAGAATAAGGGTTCTTGTGGAGTGTTCTGTAGCAATATCGTTTGTAGGAATATATGTGGAATAAATAGCTCCGGGCGTATTTCTTCTTTCCTTTCTTCTTTCTATGTTCCTCTTGTCATCATCTCTCATCTCAACTTGGGTTCTCTGTTACTTCTTGTTCGTTATTTTGAATATCCTCTCTTCGCATAAACTCCGGTTCTTTCAGTTTCAAGCCAGATCCTTCCCTGCCAGTCCTCATCCTCGTTTTGAATCTGAACCCGTATCACCTATTATATTATACTATAGGGAATCATGCTCCAGTCCTCACTTTGGCCTCAATCATCATCTTCGCCTTCGTTTCAGTGAACACTGATCTTAATTCTGCTCTTTGGGTACCTGACCCTGCTCCGATTGCGTAACACTTTACGTAATATGACATTGAATCTCCGCTCTTTCTTAAGTTTGGTTAGCTCCATAATACCGACAACTCTTTTACGTCATCTGCTGTTATCACTAGAGAAAATATATGTGGAGAAGTATGTTAATTGAGCGTGTTTTTACAACTACCAAGAGGGGGGAATACCCCGTACTTATAATAAAGAAATATAACAAAAAATAAGGAATCATAGCTGTATGAGTAGTAGAAAAACATGACTAATAAATACCAGTGTGTTATGAACTATATTGCGGTATTAAATGTATGAGTCATTAGGAAGTCTGGAAGGTTCTGTGGGATTAGTAATCGGTTGTTATTTCCTTACTATAAAGAGTCGCTTGTGTCTTCTGTTGTCTTCCTTTCTTTTCCTTACGCAACATCTTGTATTCTACTTTGGGTTATTACTTTGGGGGATTTACTTCGCTTCAATACATTACTTTACCCTTCGTCTAAGTTCCGTCTACTGTCCCCCCATGCCTTGCGCATCCGCTGCCATGATCTCCGCCGCCTCCCTGTTCCTCGCCTCGTTCTTCGCGGTTAACATGCCGCCCGTCGTGATCTCCGCCCTCGTACGGACCCTTACCTCGGTACTCGTACCGACCCTCGTCGCTGTCCTCACCTCTGTCCCCGCCTTCGGGTACACCACTGCACCATTCCTCGCCCTCGCGCGAGGCCCGCCCCTTCCCTCGGGGAACCCAACCATGTCCCTCGACCCCTCCGTTACTACCCCGCCCATGGTTCTTTACACTATGTTGCGTCGTTTAGGGTCGACTGACATCCACCAACTCGCCTCGCTTACGCGACCATCGATACCCTCGCTTTCCGCTGAGACCACAGACACCATTCTGATGTTTACGAACGCCGCACTCTTCCTTCTAGCCTGGGCTATAGCCTACCTTCTCAGTAGACTCTACATGCAGGCCACAAAGGAACCACTCGCCGACCACCTCCCACCACTGAAGCCACCCCGGCGTACTCGCCGCCTACAAGGTCGCCTCCTCCGACGCTCCATCCCTTGGGGACGGCCGACAGGAAACGACCCGGGCTGGTGTTTTTTGACACTAGCCCCCATACACTTCCGGCCGTACCTTATCGGCTTAGGACCTTACCCATCACCGGTTAAAGTCTTGAACACCCTCCACCAGCTAGGAGCCCCACTACTCCACGCACCCGTCACCCTCCACGGTGGTACAGCCCATGTCGAGGACGGCCCCGGTCCCCATACTACCATGCGACTACTAGGGTCAAGACGGATAGGTGCCAAACTTAAGATTGGGCAACTCCACCACCCCGGCGACTGTGAACCATTTGAGATACCGATACTGCTGTCTAAGAACAAGGACAATCTCCACGCCCTAGTCGACACAGGAGCTACCGGGTATGGATTTATCGACACCTCATTTGCCCACTCCCGCGGCTACACTATCGAGCCGCTTCCCACGCCTAGGCAGTTACAGGTAATCGACGGCCGAACTATCGCTTCCGGAGCTGTTACTCATTCCTGAAAGCTCCGCCTCGAAGTAGGCGCCCACGTGGAAGGGATCTCCTTAATTGTCACCCAACTAGGTGACGCTAAGGTAGTACTAGGCCTCCCCTGGCTCCAACACCATGCCGCCAAAATTCAATTCGCCGACCGATCCCTCTCCTTCCACGCCGACCGATGCAGACAACATACCGCCGCCTTATAGACCTCCACCCTCGCTTCCTCCCCGCTGACTGCCGCCGCCGCCACCCTGCCGCCACCACCGATACCTCCGAGATCTACCGCCGCCGCCACTTCACCACCACCCCCGATACCCCCAAGGCCCACCGCTCCTCGCCGTACCATTACTCTGTCGGCGGCCCGCTTCCGCAGAGAAGCACAACAGCCCGAAAACCACCTCTTCCTCCTGGCTGCTCTTCCCGCCGGTCCGCACCCAACGCCGCTCAACTCCACCGAAGAATTGGTCCCTACCGCCTACCACCAGTACCTCCACCTGTTCTAAGAGTCCGAGGCCCAAGCGCTCCCTATCCATCGGTATATCGACCACGAGATCCCGTTGCAAGAAGGCAAGCAACCGCCATTCGGCCCATTATACGGCATGTCGTCAGAAGAGTTGAAGACCCTCCGGGAATACCTTGATGACCAACTGACTCGAGGTTACATACGCTCTTCTTCCTCCCCCGCAGGAGCCCCCGTCCTATTCATTAAGAAAAAGGATGGCTCCCTACGACTATGTGTGGATTATCGCGCCCTCAATGCCCTTACGGTCAAGAACCGCTACCCACTGCCGCTGATCAACGACACCCTGGATAGACTCAAGGACGCCAAGATCTACACTAAGCTGGATCTCCGCAATGGGTACAACCAGATAAGGATAAAAGAAGGGGAGGAATGGAAAACCGCTTTCCGGACTCGGTATGGGTTGTTCGAATACTTGGTGATGCCTTTTGGACTCACCAACGCACCCGCCACCTTCCAAGCCTTTATGAACGACACCCTCCGGACCCACCTCGACGACTTCTGCACGGTGTACCTCGACGACATCCTGATATACTCGAACATGGAGGAGGAACATCAGCGACATGTCAACACCATTCTAGACAAACTACAAGCGGCGGGACTTCACTGCAAGCCTGAGAAGTGCGAGTTCCATGTCGATCGTACGGAGTACTTAGGGTATATCATATCGGGCGAAGGGGTTACTATGGCTACCGATAAAACCAAGGCGATACAGGAGTGGAAAACACCTACATCGGTACACGACATACAGGTTTTTTTGGGATTCGCAAATTTCTATCGGAGATTCATCCGCGATTACTCTAAAGTGGTATCCCCGATGACTAACCTGCTGAAGAAGGATGCTCAGTTTGTATGGATCCCCGCCGCGGACCACGCCTTCAATCGACTAAAAGAAGCTTTTACCACGGCACCAATACTGAAGCACTTCGACCCCGAACGGGCCTGCATAGTGGAAACCGATGCCTCTGATTTTGTCGCGGCCGCCGTACTCTCCCAGAAAGATGACCAAGAAATCCTACACCCAGTAGCCTTCTACTCCCACAAGATGACGCCAGCCGAATGCAACTACGACATCTACGACAAGGAGCTGCTGGCGATTGTTCGTGCTTTTGAAGAATGGCGAAAGTACCTGGAACCGAGCAACCAGGAGATCACGGTATATTGTGACCACAAAAACCTGGAACACTTTATGTCCACGAAGATTCTTAACCGTCGTCAAGCTCGCTGGTCCCTAACGCTGTCTTCCTTCAACTTTGTGGTTACCTATCGACCAGGTACGAAGAATGGAAAACCTGATGCCCTCACACGTCGATCTGGAGATCTCCCTACGGAAGGGGATGAAAGACTGACCCAACAGCATCAGGTTATACTCAAGCCAAAGAACCTCCGTCTAGCCGCCGTATTAGAGGTCCCCAGACCCGCCAAGGTATCACCCGCCCGCTACGAGGAACTGCAGGCTGCCTTAGCCAATGACCCGCTGTCAAAACAATTGATGAAGGACATCATCGCCCGGAAGAAACACTCTCGCTTCCTTCCCATCGGGGAATGTGCAATCAAGGATGGGTTACTGTACTATCAGGGCCTACTATATATCCCCGATGACGCCGCTATCAAGCTGGAGATCCTCCGCACCAACCACGATGCACCTTCGGCAGGACACCCTGGACGCGCCCGTACGCTGGAACTCCTGTCACGAAACTACTACTGGCCCCAAATGCGAAAGTACGTTGCCCGTTACGTGGACCACTGCGATACTTGTACCCGGATCAAGCCGGTCCGACACGCCCCTTATGGCCTCCTCAAACCTCTCGTTCCCCCAGTCAAACCCTGGTCCTCGTTGTCAATGGACCATGTCACCGGCCTACCAGAGTCCCAAGGATCCAACGCCATCCTCGTAGTTGTCGACCGACTCACCAAAATGGCCCACTACATCCCCACTAGAGATACGGCGGACGCCCCCGAACTGGCCCGCTTATTCTTACAACACGTCTGGAAATCTCACGGGCTGCCAAAGGACATAGTCTCGGATAGGGGCACGACCTTTACCTCGCAGTTCTGGAAAGCCCTGTGCAACCAATTGGATATCAAACCTCGCTTCAGCACCGCCTTCCACCCACAAACCGATGGACAGACCGAAAGAGTAAATGCAATTATGGAACAGTACTTACGGGGATACGTCAACTACCAACAGGACAACTGGGCAGAGTTTCTCCCGCTGGCAGAGTTCGCGCACAATAACGCCACCACGGAGCCCTTAGGGGTTAGCCCCTTCTTCGCCAACTACGGGTATAATCCACAATTAGATATCCTACCCGCCGAAGAAAGACACGAATCCACGCCGAAGGAAGTAGTAGAATTTGCCAACTCGATCACAACCCTGCAGACCGCATTGCGATCCGAGATCCTGTACGCTCAAGCCGCTGCTGCCGATAGCGCCAATACCACCCGACTCCCAGAACCACGACTAGAAGTAGGGGATTTGGTATGGTTGTCGCGAAAACATATACGAACTACTCGGCCATCAGACAAATTGGACCATAAACGCTTAGGGAAATTTAAAATACTCGAGCGCATTGGATCTCACGCCTACCGACTGGAACTCCCTCCATCGATGAAGTCCCATCCGGTGTTCCACGTCTCCCTACTAGAACCCGCCCGAACGCAGCCTCTTCCTGGCCACCTACAACCACCCCCGCAGCCGGTAGTCGTCGAAGGGGAAGAGGAGTTCGAAGTGCAGGAGGTGCTAGACTCGCGGATACGTCATCGGCAACTACAATACCTGGTTAAATGGACAGGCTACGAACAACCTACCTGGGAACCCGCCCGGAACCTCGATGCGGAGTTAGGATCGCTGCAACGCTTTCACTCCCTATACCCCACCAAACCCGCCTTAGCTCCTAAGAGGACTCAACGTGGGAAATTATAATCTTATGTCCCTCGGTGCTGGCCTTCTTTATACGTTTAGTTAAATTTTTCTTTTCTTTCCTTTTCTTCTTTTCTCTTTCTTTCTTTTGCTTTCTTCTTTTTTTATTTACCTTGCTTTCGTCTGCCTGCTCGCAGGAGCTCGCCCTTTGGGGGGGGGAGCTAAACTGTTATGAACTATATTGCGGTATTAAATGTATGAGTCATTAGGAAGTCTGGAAGGTTCTGTGGGATTAGTAATCGGTTGTTATTTCCTTACTATAAAGAGTCGCTTGTGTCTTCTGTTGTCTTCCTTTCTTTTCCTTACGCAACATCTTGTATTCTACTTTGGGTTAATACTTTGGGGGATTTACTTCGCTTCAATACATTACTTTACCCTTCGTCTAAGTTCCGTCTGCTGTCCCCCCATGCCTTGCGCATCCGCTGTCATGATCTCCGCCGCCTCCCTGTTCCTCGCCTCGTTCTTCGCGGTTAACATGCCGCCCGTCGTAATCTCCGCCCTCGTACGGACCCTTACCTCGGTACTCGTACCGACCCTCGTCGCTGTCCTCACCTCTGTCCCCGCCTTCGGGTACACCACTGCACCATTCCTCGCCCTCGCGCGAGGCCCGCCCCTTCCCTCGGGGAACCCAACCATGTCCCTCGACCCCTCCGCTACTACCCCGCCCATGGTTCTTTACACAGTGGAAGAATGAGTCAGAATCCGTGACTAACTATCACAAATGAGAATCCTCCAATACCATGAAACGTTCCGAGCGTACTATTTAAATACTTTCTCTCAGGGGCCACCGTGAATAGTAGAAGGAAATAAAACAAGTTTGCATTTATCCAATCTCTTTGTAAATAAATCCGCCAAATTTTCATTTGTAGAAATATATTCCAACTCAAACAATTTATCCTCGTATAGTTCCTGAACGAAATGAAAATGCAAATCAATATGTTTAGACCTTTTATGAAAGATAGAATCTTTAATCAAGGACAGAGAACCACTATTATCGCCATGAAAAATAAAAGAACGTTTTGGTTTCTATTGCAGTTCACGATTGGTGTCCGAAAGAGCTATATATTCTGCCTCAGTAGTAAAGCTGGCGACGGAGCGCTGCTTATAAGAGAGTCAGGGGATGAGAGCTTCCACTAACATAAAGCAGTGGTCGGTGAATGAGCAGGGATCGTCGATGTCAGAGGCATAGTTTGCATCACTGAAGCGGATGAGTGCAGTGGGTGGCGATTTGCATAGAAGAATGACCAATCAAGGGTATTTTGGAGGTAACGAAGGACGCGATAGACTAAAACTAAGTGAGCTTTAGTGGGACAGTAAGAAAATTGTGAGAGCATGGTAACAGTGTAAGTGAGGTCCGGTTTCACCATCCTTCTTCCCCGCTTCTTCCTTGGTTTTTGAAACCAACCTCCTCTTTTTTACGTGACAACCGTTCTCACACACCAAAAACCCCCACCGTTCCGGCTTCATGTCGGTCGCCCACTTATCACTAAGGAGGGCCCTCTTCGAGGCATTCGACCTTAGTTCGCTCGACAAGGCCATTGGCCTCCCAGAGCTCACCCACACCCTCTCTGCTGAGGTTGAAAAGGCAATCGGTAGCAGAGACCACCGCGACTCCAGTCAACTGAATACCCTCCTCTTGTTAGGAGCTATTCAGCAAAACAAACAGCTCGCCGAAGCAGTCTCCAAGCTAGGAGACGACATCACCTCCCTGAGGGAGTTAATCGCAGCCCCCAAAGCTGCTCCCACCCCCTCAGACCCTCTCATCGTCCAAAAACTGGACACCCTCATCGGGAGAACCAGCCTCCCCCCTCTCACACCCCAGGCCCCCCACAGACCTACCCCGCCCGCCAAGCCTGCCCAACCGAGGGCAACTCCCATGTATGCACAAGTGGTTCGATCCACTCCCAACCCACCCAACCCCCCCAGCAAGAAGGCAGCCAAGGCAGCCGCAGCCCCGGCCCCAGGATCCGCCCCGAAGGCGAAGCCCCTACCGTCTGCCCACCGCGGCTTCTTCGCCACCAGGACCACCCCCTGCCCCATCGCCAATGCCGAAAGGCTGTCGGCAACCCTCCCCCGCCTCTTCGGTCAAGCCCTGGCCCGAAGCCACCAAGTCGCCCCTGTCACCTCCCTCACCGTCACCATCAACAACAGAGGCACAGTCTCTGTTACCGCTCCCCCCACCGTCCCATCAACGGTCTACGCACCCTTCTTCGAGGCCCTCACCACGATCCTGAACGTGGAAGTAGCCTCCCCAGAAAACCCCTTCACCACCTTCCGCACCGCTCCCACCAACGTCGATCTCGCCATCCATGGCGTCCCCCTCTACGAGCTCCCCAACCAGGAATGCCTAGAGGAGATCCTGCCCTCCGCACTTAAACTAGCCGTTGGCATCACCCCCGCCGCCGTCCGTTTCCTAAACACGGACGAAACCTCCCGCTCCTCCAAGGCCACCACCTCTGTCATCGTCTCCATGACGGCGGAAGAGGCAGCAACCATTGGAACCACCATCCGCCTCTTCTCCCGCCCCAGACGCTGCAACGTCATGTGGCGAGCATCCTCCACCACACAATGCAGGAACTGCTGCAAACTCGGCCATGCCACCCAGGGATGCAGGTCCCCCGTCGTCTGCCCCCTCTGCACCCTCCCCCACAAGCTCCAAGACCACCGCTGCCCAGTTGCCACGTGCAAAGAAGCATCGGCACCTCTTGAAAACTGCTGCGAAATCTCTCCCGCCAAGTGCGTCAACTGCAACGGGACCCACCGCTCCTTCGCCCCAGCCTGCCCCAGCAGGAAACCCACCACTCCCCCGACCCCCCCCAACCCCCAGACCGCGATGGAAATCTCATAAAAACGCCGCGCCACCCCACTACTACCTCCAGGAGACTAGGTTCTCGGAGGCCCCACTAAGGATTTTCCCCCTCTCATATTCTCTTTTGTCTTCGTAAGTCTTTTTATATAGGTGGAAAAATAGCCGGTCGGGGACAGGTCTTTACGCCATAGTTTATACTTTATGCGATTCTTTGTACCTAGAAACAATAGAGCTTGATATAAAAAAAAAAAAAAAAAAGAGGTCCGGTTTCACACCGATCACTGAGTACAGGTCTAGATTCATTGAAACTGTATTTAATAAGTACATGCTTGAGATAGGCTTCCTGTATTAGGACAAAGCCGGTCTTAATATAGGTTAAGTGGATCCCGAGTATTCATTTAGCTGTGCCATTTTCCATCATTTCAAATTCTGTTTGGAGTTTAAGGCTGACGCGATTCTTTCGTTCGACGTAGCAGGGAAAGATAAGGATATCATTCACGTAGATGGCAATAACAACTTTATCTGTTTTGTGAATACAAACACGAGGGTCAAAGTCCGCTTTTGTGAATCCCATTTTGATTAGCGTTTTGGAGAGGTGAACATACCATTCCCGAGATGACTGTTTGAGGGAATAGATGAACTTGATAAGTCTCTATGCTTTTCTCAAGGGGGCGAGTAGCAACTATTCCGCAGGTATGAAGGGGGTAGTAGAGATCGGTGTGGGCACTCGTAGTAAGGGTTCTAAGGGACTCTAGCATCGGTAAGGGTCAACGGGATAAGGGGGCAGCGAAGCGGTGGTCTCTTTGAGTACAGAAGAGGAAGATAATATTGTATAGTAATAGACAGCGTATGTACAGAATGTAACGGAGCCATTTTCAACTGTCTGGTGTATGAGTACACAGGGCCCGGTTACATGCTGAGAGTTATTGTTAGAAGCCAGTTGCATGGTGATATGCAAGTACTGGCAGTGTGATTAGCTACCAGCTGCTAGAGTAACTACATTCCGGATGCTAGGAAGGGGATCTATTCATGGGAGCAGTGACTGACGAGTCTATGCCTCGCCAGTGACTAGAAGGGCAGCCAGAGTGAATCTCTGATTGCCCTGTGATCCTTTGAATCCTCTGAGTACTGTAAGTCCGCCGAAGGGCAGGGACTATGCTAGGGAAGTCTACAATAACCGAAAGCTCTACAGCAATGATTAAGCTACACCTGAGCTGCAGCTCATTCATGCAGGCTCCGGTTGTATGGCAATCAAGGCTGCAGGTGTTATAAAGGCTTTGACTAAGGGTGGTTGCCTTGAGTATCGGAAACACCTGCTGACGCTTAGAGAAAAGTGGGGTAGCGGTGGTATTGTTTCCAGGCCGAGGAATGGCTTCACCGAAACTTACTAAAGAGCTAGGAGCAGAGAATAGAGGCCTTCGGAGTATAAGTATTCAGGTTCATTCTCGACCTTCAGTCCTGTTCTCCCCAGTCTTTATCAGAAAGAAATATTAAGTTCTTATCGGTAGCAGAGCCCTTAAAGATTATTGAGTTCTAGCGATAGTATCTTTGAATAATCTGCAACCTGCTTGTCTATCTTGCACAGCCGTCTCTATTCTATCTTATTCTATTTCTCTTAGAAGAGATCCCCATTACTCAGAAGACGTTATGTAAAGAAAGAAAGGAGAGGAAAAGGAACAAGAAATGAGAACGAACCCCCTTAATATACCCAAGGAAATCCCAGCGATGATAAATCCACAGTGACGCACACATTAACAATCAACAGAACCCGATAGAACTCAATAGAACCCTTTTGACTAATCCAACTCCTTGTAGCCCAGGATATCCACTAATCGATCCATGAAAGCTTTGCCGAGAGTAGGTTAGTCAGGTGGAGATTTCATGTAGATTTCTTTCTGGAGTTCTCCGTATAGGAAATCGCTAGTAATGTTCATCTGATTGCTTTCGCCACCGGTTTGAAGACAACGAGCAAGAAGTAGTTTGAGGGATTCATATCGGGTGACGGGAGCATAGGTTTGAGCAAGATCTCGACCAAGTACCTGTGAGAAACCTTTTGCAACGAGTCGGGCTTTGTACTGAATGGAGTTACCATCGGGCCTGAGCTTAGTTTTATATACCCATTCGCAGTCGATCAGCTTTCGGTGATCTGATGTCTTAACCAGATTCCAAGTATTATTTCTAGCGAGTGAGTCTAGTTCAACTCCTATAGCTTTTTGCTATTTTCTGGAGTCAGGACTATTGATTGCTTGGTGATAGTTTGTTGGTTCTGTGGGGGTAACATCCTTTTAAATATTGTATCTGTATCTGGCCAGGGATTTCTGTTCACGTACTGAGTTACGTCTCCATTGATCAGTATTTGTATCAACATTATTGTGTAAGTGATGCTCAGGAGTGGGTCTCGAAAAGCTGGCCCCCACTATACTTGCCTCTTCTTCTTCTTCTTCTTCTTCAAATTCGTTGTTGGTAATATGTCTGATCGTTTCCCGAAGCATTTGTTGATTGAGCATGTGTTCGATATCAGAATTTGAGAGTTTCACAGCTGGTGTTGGTGGACGTGAGGATGATTCTTGTTTGATCTCGATTTGTTTTGATTTAGGGGATGTATCGGTTTTCATTCTTTCAATTTTTTTCCCTATGTATGGACCTTTAAACCTTAAATAACGACAGAGAACTAGTTTCCTTTGTGATCGTATATAAACACAGTAGATTTTATTAGAGTCTCCATAGCTTTAGATTTGTTCCGAGATTGTACTGGCTTCGATCTTTGTTCCAGCTGGTCATGCTTCGATAGGTAAATGAATAAACATTGTTTTACCAAAGGATCGGAGATGCCCAATGAAGAATTTTGTGCCGGTGAGTGCTTCGTATAGTGTCATGTTCGGGAGTGCTTTTATCCGGGAGACAATTGTTGACGTGTAACATTTTATTGATTACTTCTGCCCACAGATTCTGTGGAAGATCATGGTCAAGCAAGTTGGATCGTGCCATTATTGCTATTATTCTGTCAAAGCATTCTGCTGTTCCATTTGACTCATGAGAGTAGGGTACAGTGAATTTATGGTGTATGCCTTTGTAGGCAAAGAACCATTGGAGGTCATTGGAGATGTACTCACCACCATTGTCGCTTCGGAACCATTTGACCGTCTAATCGAATTGATTTTCCATGTATGCGATATACCACTGTGTGGCAGCTGCTGCATCTGACTTCTTTTTAAGGAAGTAGAGATGAGCGTACTTGGAATGATCGTCGATGAAAGAAATATAGTAAACAAAACGATCAAGAGAGGGAATGGAAAACTTGCCGCTCAAATCTGAGTGGATTAGTTCTAGTAGTTGTTTCGATCATAGTTTGGTAAGAGGAGCGAGGTGTGATTTGGTGGATTTGGCGAGTTCAAATATTTTGCATGTTCCCATATGACCTGGTGTGGGGAGAGATTTTGGATCAGGAACTATATTGCGTAGCCGTGGAAGCGAGTAAGCAGGGGGATGTCTGAGTCATTAGTGCCAGTGATAGAACCTGGTGGCGATGGAGATATGTACGCAAAGTTCCTTCGTTTCAAAAATGTAAAGACCAGTACTGTTTGCATTAGCGACAGCAATGATGTACATGTTATTCAGTTTATAAATGGTAAAGCCGTTTTCCGTCCCTATTGTTGTGAATCTCTTCTTAGCGATATATGACCAGGACATTAGGTTAGTGTTGTCGAGTTCTGGGATTAAAAATACGTTCTGTAGGGTAATGGGGCTATAGAGTCTGTTGATGGTGATATTTCCAATTCCGGTTATCTGTAGCTTTCGCCAGCCACCAAAAGTGACTGTTCCACTGTAAGATGAGGCGTTGGTAACCTGAGTTTCGGTCATGTAGTTAGTTGCACCAGGTTCAAAGATACATGCCTTGTTGTCAGATCTTGAAGGTCCTGCAAGGAATCCAAAGTACTCTTCCACTATTACATCTGAGGTTCCGGAAAAAGTGATAAAGTTGAAGGAAACCCGCATAGTAAATGCATCAGCAACTTCGAGTTCGGAGAGGCCTGAGAAGTCAGGAATCCAAGAGAAGTCTAGTTTTGTGTGAAATGCAGTACCGGATACGATGTTGAGGTTGCCAGATGCAGCGGACTTCTCTTTAACTCTGAAAGCTTTGAGTTTCCAGCAATCTTTATGTATTTGGCCTTTTGAATATTCGCCGTTCTTGATTCACCATGTGCATGTAAGATCCTTTTTGTTCTTTTTGTTGTTACGTGCCTTGCCGACTTTGTTGTTCCTTCCGTGTCCTGGGTTTCCTCCCCTGATATGGTAGGCTTGTACAGTCGCCTGTCCATCGTTGTTGCGCCATGACTCCAGATCCATTAGCTTTTCATTGATATCATTGAAGGTGAGGTTGGGCTTGGTTTACAGGTTGTCAACAGCTGTTTCGAGGGATTCGTGCCGGAGTGAGAAATGTAGGAAGGATACTTTCACTTCTGAGACAGATGCGAGTTGGTGGAGGTGGTACCCGATTGGATCTTTGGTCTTATCCGGAGAGTTACTAGTTCCAGTGAATAGAGATGACTAAAGAGTATTGAACTGAGTTAGATGTTCCATGGTGCCTTTGTCAGGCATATACTGTAGGGTTACAATGTTGGCAAGAAGCGAGTGGAGAGAAGATGCAGTTTCTTGATCAAATTTGTCCTCGAGTTGAGTCCAGAGGTGGTGAACGGTATCGGCCAGAGTGAGCATGAGAATGACTTCAAATTCAATATTGCATTGAAGAAAGATGACCGCGAGGTCATCTTTCTTATCCCATTTGCTGATTTCTTCAGCATTGCCTGAGGTTTCTTCTTCGACCTCTTCTGATGATATTGTAACCGTAGTAGTACTTCTGGTGAACACAGGATGCTTACTCGTACTATTGACTAGATTCCACAAACCTTGAACTTTTAACATACGACAAGCAAAGTTCCTCCAAACAATGTAATGGCATTGGCCAAGCAGCTTGCATGGTAAAGCGGGAATTTTTACGCTGTTGTTCGACATATTTGAAGTGAAACGATAGAATGTACTTTTGTAGTAAAAATGGTTTGGAGTATATAAGTGTGGGTGGTCTCCAGTCTCATAACCTAGAGAAAATGTATACAAAGAAGTGTAGTAATTGAGCATGTTATTCCAACTAACTAGAGGGGGGAATGCCCCATATTTATACTAAAGAAATGTAACACAAAACATAAAGAATCATACCCGTATGAGTAATAGAAAAACATGACTAATAAATACCAGAAAAAGAATGAATCAGAACCCGTGACTCATGATGACAAATGAGAATCCTCCAATACTATGGAACGTGCCGAGCGTACTATTTCAATATAATCACCGGAAGTATCATATAGCTATAATCACCAGTTTCCAACAGCCCGAGTATTTTACTCTGTTTTAAACACAGTCTCGAGTATCTCACAACACCCTGATGGCCTCACCAAGCACCTCCGGAACTATTATCCTAACTCCAAACTGGGGAACTACATTAAGCTAGTGTATTCACGTTTATGATTTATCCCTTGGACCGGTGAGATATGCAGATTCCCCGCCTTCCGTTCTTAGGAGGTATACACGGTGGCTCAGTGACTTCGCCATAGTAAAGCCTCAAAGGCGAAGTCACTTAGCCACTGCTTCTACCTCCCGTATCAGGAAGGCGGGCAATCTGCATGTCTCACCAGTCCGAGGGATACTTACAAACAGCAGTAGTTATACCTAGACAATGATACTTTGCTAATTTTGTTGTAAAGCTCAAATAATCGATTGACAATTGATTTATTGTCTGCCGCCCGGGTAAAGCTCGAGTAACCTTTAAGCGACCAATTACGGTCGTGTGTGTGTCTTTTTCCCTTTGTTGCCACGTGTGCTACTGCGCATAGTGGAAACTCGATATGGTCGATTGCAAACACTCGAACCATTCCATCCAGGATGACAGTTAGTCCGGCATAGCAGCTTCATCTGACTGTTAGAAAAAGAAAAGATACGGAGGATACGGGACAATTATCATAGGGGATCTCGGTATTATAGTCCAATAAGGCCAAAACTCGAAATGTTGACTATCTCCGTCCAGGGATTACAACCTGATTGTTTGATTAGCATCGATCTGCATCAGAGGTTTCCCGTACAATTAAGTTTGATCTAGCAAGTTTTTCGAGTTATGGCCGATGTGGATGCACCTTTACTCTACACTAACCTACACGAGACAGGGAATGATTGTTAGATTATTAATGTAAGTTTAGTCACTAAGCACTTTTTGTGATGGTTACACACACAACGATGTGTTGACTTTCGGTCCGGTAATGTTTATCTACCCCGAGTATTTACTCTCTGCCATCATTGATGAATGCCTCAGAATCCTTGAGGCGCCTTTTAAGTTATCTAATTCGAAAAGGTATAGGCATATCGGCATAGGCTAGGTATGGCCACTTTGAAGTATAGGAAGCGTGGTAACGCATCAATCAATCAGATCTAATGCATACCTCAAAACACGTGTTGGAATCTTAGGATCCTGAGCACAGGCCAATTTATAATTTATCGACGTGCAGGATGTACCGCAGTATTTGAGGAAATTCGCTGCGCTGCAGCAGGGGTATTCTCTAGAAAAACTTGCATATTGACGTCCAAATGCTGCCTCTAGTTGGCTTATACCCCTGCTGAGGCGCAATGAATATTCTCAAATACACCGGGCCGAAACATTCTCAGAATCTGGTGCTCTGCAGCCTTGGCAAATTTGGGCCAAAAGTTACTATTTGTGGGAGTTTCTTGTGGAAATCTCAACTGTATCATTACCCTATATGGCAAGCAAGCACCAGGGATGTACAATGTGCAGAGCACCAGATTCTGAGCATGTTTCAGCCCGCCAGGCGATAAAACAGGTCATAATGAGCAGCCCCATTCGGCAGAGGAGTCTCTAGACTGCGCAGCCGATGAGCCAACCAGCGCTACCTAAAGCGAGATGTGGTAGAAAAGAAATGAAGCAAAAGGAACGTTTCTTATAATGATTGGCTATTATGTTATCCCCTCAAGATTGACTGTAGAGGTAAGGGCCCAGTATTGCTGGAGGTAGTAAACCTGTATCTCTCCAGGGTATACAAATTCCCCTGCCAAAGCGGAACGCATATCCTTCATAGAGAGCCAGAGTCCTCCCAGCTCACCCCGTCGCCCCAAGAAACTATACACCATAACAACAACGACCAAAGTCCTCCTACCTCTATTTACAACAAGGAGAATCAGCGCGGCGTCTCCACAGCTACCCCTCTTCCCCGTGTCCTCACAGTTTTTCGACTCTTTCTCGCCTCGGCGCAGTGTGAATACATCATACTCGTCAGCCGAAAGGGAAAACATACGAGAGAAACTCGATGGACATCACGAATTCCACCCAAGGGGTGCCCTTGCATCGTGATGACAGGGTTTGTCGGCGTTCAGATTGGATGGATGTACTCACATTCCTCGCTCTCGACTTCGGACTTCGGGCGGTCACGGTTCTTACTCCCCCTGGAAGTACTGGACTTCATAGCGCTCTGATCTGCCTCTGGTCTCTTATTTGCCCGGCCTATGGGGTTAGGAGGGCGCTCATTGCAGTCGGGTTCACGGAAGATGGAGACAGCGAGCTTGAGGAGTCCATTAAAAAAGCGTGGCGGCGTCTTACTGCAAGGATTCAGCGCAAAAGTGAAATCGACATGGCCCTCAGGTCGGGGGCCCTGTGCATGCTAGTGCCTTCTTCAGCCAGCAAGAGATTATCCCTAAACCCCCCGAATGACCACAAAGAACCCGGACCCGAAGGGTTACCTCTGGAAACGATTAATCCTCTCATGACCAGTGTTCACGGTCAGTATCCGCCAGATATCAAGCCCCTGAGCCATCAAGACCAGTCCCTAGACGAGGAGGGTGGCAAAGGATTTGAATACTCATTGGTGAAAGTACCGCCGAGTTTGAAGGTCTTCCCCATTATAAAGGAGCATGATCCAGGACCACTCATAAAGAGGATATGGCGTTGGGTTAGCAATAAACCCGAGGAGCCAGTTAAACATTTGCACAAGAAGGCAGTTCCTTTACGTCTCTCATCCAACGAGAGGATCGTAAAAGCTCTTTGTACGATCTTTCAGCTCCTTTACGGTTCCTATGAGCTCTATAAGATGGGTGGCGACCACCTTAAAAAATACGGATACGCCGCTTACGAATTTACAATTATACCATACCTCAGCATGTCGTTGATGAACCTACTTGTGAGTTGCGTCAGGCCTACCTACCCCACAATGTACATAGTTTACTATCGAGGCACCGAAGAACATATACCAACGGACGGAAGAAACCCATCAGATAACAACCAACGGACGACAACGGATGAGGATCAAGGCAAACCCGCATTGAATCAATTGGAGGTAGTGCCAGTGGACGAGAAGGAGGGTGCAGACGGAAACCAAAATCTAGATTACCTCAAGGACTGGTGGAACCCAAGCAATAGCGAGTTCGAAGAAAATGTCAGCGGCGCGATTGGATACGCGTATGGAGATTTGTCGGGGAAAGACGGATCCGGACCGGGGAAGCGTCATCATATCTTTAGTCTTTCCACATGGACGAGGCGATTCAAAGCGAATGTAAGCTCTCCTTGCAACTCCCTCTTCATTGCTCAATAGCTAAGCCTCAACACGTGCGCCAGCCTATCTTCACCCCACTTGTTTTGGCTATTTACATCTTATTATACTATGCAGCACCATATATTATTATCCAGATTTTAACCGGCTTTGATCGAGGGAAGAGCACGCCCCTTCAGCGAAGTTGTATCATTATGTGGATAGCCAGTGGGCAATTCTGCCCGGACTTCATCGAGATAATTGATTGCTTATTATCCAGAGGACAGCTGGGGGGTGCCAGCTTAAACTCAACCTTGAGGAAACTCATTCTTGGCATTTTGTACTTGACACTTATTGGAGGACCAACCTGCGCTGGTGTTTACATGGTGGCAACAATGATATTGGAAGGCAATACATGTGCTGAACTGTGATTACATGTATGGGATTTCATTGGAAATAGATATAGTAATAGACTTTCCTTTCGTATTTCCTTCTTTCTTCATCCTCTTTGGCTTCGTTCTCAGATGTGGATTTCGAGGGCAGTAGTTCACAATCTTTTGTATCTCCTTTGTAGCATAAGTCACAAATTGGATGTGTAATAATTTCAGGTTATGGTTAATAGACATGGTACTTCGTATTGAAACTATGTGAATTTTCCTTTTATACACGATTGGTATCAGGGTTAGGGTTATTTACAAACCTGGATTCCGCAGGTGGGAAACATTACTAAGTTTATAAACGATATCTTCAATGAAATTTGGTACACAATTCTTAGGTGGTGCAATTGAGGCATTTACCGACGACTGCTGATCCATTTACAGGGTCATTAGAGTGTCGCGCCCAGGCGCCTTTTCCTACTATTAGAAATGGGAATTAAAGCAGCAACATGAGATAAAGATCCAGATATGTATAATGAGATTCAAGAAATGTACCCTGCTGGTATCATTTCGAATGACCTTCTCTACAATCCTGTCAAAAGATAATTTTTTGATGAGCGTGGATATTGAATTTTGCCCACCTAAAGGTTGACGGTTGCCAATAGAAGAAGTATGAGATGGAAACCCTAACCCATCCAGCAGTTACCCCCATGCCGAAGGCTAACCTGGTCCCGTTTACTTGATAACTAATACATGTCAATCAGTCCAAGAGAAGAAAAACTAGTCCCAAGTAGCGCAATCACACACTTGTGGTGTTCGCGTACAAACTTGATATACGCGTGCAGTACAGGTAGTAGGCGGGGAGTGGTAGGACCTTGTGGGTGCGTGTGGATGACGGTTTGTGACTGCACCCGTGAATAGTTCTGAACGCGAACATACCTTAGGCCCTCATGGTATATCACCTGTGCCAAGCCTTCCCCGAATGTAATTGATTACATATAGTGATTAGTTGATTAGTAATTCATTATTCTGTGTGTCGCAAGCTGTTTCCCGTAGTTCTCCAGAGTCTAGTTTAATTCGCTCATGAATCAAAATCGATGATGAACGTAAAGCCAGACTAATTGTATTGTAGAGGTATGGATGATCTAGAAGTGACAGAGACAGAAGACTAAGACTAAACGTACCATGTAAGTTGTATACGTTTCCCCCTCTACTGAACAATCGTCGGCTACCTGTCCACTATTGCGTCGTCTCTAGTACTATTATGTGGCTTAACTAGCGCCGCGCACCACAGATGCAATAGGATGGGTGAAGTAAATCAGCGCAGTCTCTACGAGCGACAAATCCGGGATCAGGCCTGATTTTTGACCGAAACTTTCCCTGAGACTACCTAAGCTGTTAAACCTGGGGGCGGGCAGGGATAATCACATACGTCTATATCCCGTATCCAACCCCGATCATATCGCCGATAGTCTAGCTGATATATCGATAGTCAAGATTAAGAATAGTTTGACCCAGTACTTCAGCACACCCCACCCTCACAAGAGGTATGATGATATGTCCGACAGAATAGTAACAACTCACTCCCGTTTGTCCCAACGACCATCACGCAGCTCTCTATTTCAGTTCACTTCTCCCCCGAGAACCCATTCAATACCCGCAAAAACTCTACAGCCGCGATGGGGTGATGGGCATGAGACAGGATCTGGCTAGACCATTTGAAAAGAGGTCTCATGGATTCCATTTTCTATTAATTTCATCCATATCGACCCCGGATCTTCGCAGTACGAAGTTTAGTAGCCCTAACCCTTGCCAACTCTCTCATTATAAAGGCGTTTACTTGATTAAGGTCATTTTACTTGGAAGACAACTCAATCTGGTGCAGTAAATATTCTCACTGCATATAGCGACTGCGCTAACTGCAACCTCACTTGATTTGCTTATTATCCCAGAAGAGGCATTGAAATATAAATGAGAAATATGTACTTAGCAGATGATGAGTTTGCGGGCTACGTCACCATAAGGAAGAAATGAAATGAAGAAAGATGTAATAGATAGAAACCCTAACCCAAACAGACCCTTCAAACCTTCCGGATTACGTAACCACCACGTGCGGGTAGTTCTTCGAGCACAGTTTGTCACTCGTGCCAAGCCCTGCGTGTAGGTATCAAGTTATTGATCCGCGTGACACGCACCTGAACGTGATGGTTGCGTGCTCCAACGTATCGTCTGTTCCCAGGTAAGACCTGTTCTGTTTACCATGTAAGACAGGTAATCTCATGACGCGGTAACCGTAGTTCACACCTGACCCCCGATGGCTATCCCTTGCACGGTCAGTCCGAATTGAATTATAAAACTAACCGTATATGGTATCTGTTCTGTGTTGAACGCCGTTCATGTTTATCCTCGCATCAAGGCTGTGAACGTGACAGAAAGTTTCCAGCGTGTGGTAAGTTACTGGATACTGGGATAAACATTCTGTGCGTTCGACACAGCACAGGTGCACAGATACGGTTAGGTTTATATTTCAATTCGGACTGACCGTGTAAGGGATAAGTCTCAGATTCAAGGTCCGATTCCTTCTAGCTATCTCCGCCCTAACACAACCTATCACTACCCCTAAAACCGAAGAGATACCCACCTCCGCCTTCTCCCACTACCATGCCGCACTGTTAAATCTCCACACCCGTCTTACATTCTAGGCCTCCGGGAACTCAATAAACTCCCGCTAAACCTTCCCAGAATCCCCCCCGCGGGTGAGCCCAACACAAGTACACACTCCCCTGACCGCCGACCACAAACCAGCCACCGGGCCCAGACTACCCCCGCCCCACAAAACTGCCCGAGAGCCATGACGTACAAGTCGACACAAAATCGAGTCCGCACTATTTTCCCTCTTGGCCAGAGGCGACACTTTACATCATAACTGCGACTCAATTAGTCCTTCGTAAAGACGCGCTTCAGTCGCGTGGGCTAATGCTTCGGCGCTTCAGACGGTGGGGTTCTGGGGAATATCGGAGATAATTATGGGTTGTTGAATCTGGTACAAGAGGCCTCAATGGGTGGTTTTAAATGGGTGGGTTTTCGAGATGAGAGGGCAGACAGGGTAGTTGTGGTCGTGTCTTACGCTGCTCGGGGCGGGGATGCGGTAGGTGGTGGAGACATATGAGAATAAGCAAACTCCTATCACTAACCAGTACAGTCTCACCCCATATCCTTGCCACTCGGCTTTTAATTTAGTGCGACTAAGCCTCGCGCCCAACTACTTTTGGTTATTCCATTCTCAATGAGTTGTCACAACTTATCACTCGCTCCACCACGCCAAGCCGCCGAACCACCAAGCTAAACTGGCTCAGTCATGCCAAGCCACTATGCCAAGCCCGGGTCTCAGAGCGCTATCAATTGGCTTCCCCTTCAGACCACCTACTGTCATACGTCCAGTTGCCGCCTCTCTTCACCAAATAGCTATCCCATTCATGAGGTTTTATGGCCGTTGCTTCGGAGCACTCCGATAATAGCTGGACACAAAAGAAAACCTGGGAATTACGCGTCCACTCCGCCCCTGCCTTCTTTGTGCCGTTTAATTATGCCTCGGCGCTGGTGTGGCCTGAAGGCTCTTGTGGTAATGTTACTTCTGAGTACTGGGATGCTGTGGTGCTGTGGGAAGCTGGATAAGATGTTCTGCGGTGAGGAAGTGGGGGGGTTTTCGGCAATTATCGCTCCCCCGGAACGAGTACCGTGAAGGGGGATCCAACGCAAAATCAACTATCGCTTTGCAACTACTCTGTAGAGTAATTCACTGGCAGCACTGTTGGAAAGGCTACTTGGCCCTCAAAGCTCGGGTCACAGTATGCTATTACTACCACATCTCCCGAGAAACCTCTGCGGTTGAGACGGGGCCGCGGGACCCGGCGGATCAGGGTCAGGGTCAAGGTCGGGTCTGGCGCGGGTCGGGGTTGGGTCGAGTTGGGTTGGGGTTTGAGTCTACTTTATCGTTGACCTTACAGCTGTTTGCAAAGTATTGGGCCTAGCCGAGCGTCGTAACAGATAGTGCGAATCCTCAGGCTCTTACCTATCTAGGTAATTCCCATAGCTTCATTAGGAAACCCTGCTGAAATTAAAATATCTCAACGGGTATCTCGAGTTACCAAACGAGGTAATCTTGCTTAACATTCCAAGAATCGTTCTTTGTGTTGTGTTGTTCGGCTGGGCCTAATATTACGATAAACTCTAGACTTGAATCAGCCATCGATCTAGTACAGCTCCTTAGCGCATGATAATCAACTCACTGGGAATAAACGCAACATTTTCTGCGGTTAGTCTTGCGACCCCATTCGGACCGACCAATCAATCTTACCGGTCCCGTACCACCCCGCTCAAATTTCTTTTTCTTTTCATGTTAATTACCAACTGAATCGGCGTTCGAACTTGATGACAGAAATACCGCTATCACGTGGTTCGAGTGATATTCCATGATTAAATGTCAGGATCCGCTAAATACGAGTGCGAATTCGTGAGGCAGTGTGATTGGATTTTCTCAAGGTCTCGGATTGATTGATTGAATACTTCAAGGTCGCGGAGTTGAGTGGTGGATTTTTTGAATGCCGAAATTGTGTGACGAGACGGTGTGGCCGAGACGGAGGTAGTGAAAGTATTGTTTTTGCGGAGGTTCGATGTCGGAATGGTTTACTTTGGGTTTCTATTTGGGTGTCGATGGTGGAGTGGCGCTCGATGGGGCCATGTTAGGACAGTTGTTTTTCTCTACACGTGAGTGAAAAGTGTGCAAGAATACTACATAAGTACTTAGGGGCTGGGCAGATGAAGGATACCCGACACCTTGACTCGACACCTTACAAAAGAATCAGTGACCAGCTATCAACCAGGATATCTAGATATTATTCTGCGTAATTAAGTGCATGTTGAAATGTATATCCAATTTTTCACAGCCCGCAGTACATTGGGGATAGCATACACAGTACTGCCATCAGACGGTCGGTCACACATAATGTTTCAATTCCTAGGTTCGGTGGAATATCACCTTTACTGGCTTGAAATGTCGGTCTTATGTAACCAACCGACTGTTAGAACTACACAGTATGAGAGCAAGTCAGATCCGCCTTTGACACCCTGTGTAGTGGGTTCGTGTTGATGGTTCGGTGTTGTAAGGGTGGAACCCGTCATTGTAGCGACACAGAATATGACTCGGAAGTCTTGCTGGTGTCTTCATTACCAGCTGTCTTCTGTTTATTGTAATATATTTGGTGCAATTTCATGCCAAGTAGGTGGGTTTAATCTCAATACCGCTGAAGGAATAATTGCTCGACCGATGAGTTTGTTAGGTCGGAACAGAAAGCCGCCTCGATCAGGCATGGAAACGCATCAATTGATGCATTACCCACACAACGAAAGGGAGGAGAACGCATGGATGACACATTAATACAGGGATGCATTTCCCGGTGCCTTTACATTGAGATACACCTTTCCTGATGCCTTTCCAACCCTACTTGGCATATTCATATAGGGACTATATAGCCATTAGATATTACTTGTTTATAAGAGATTATAGCGTGGGTGATAGGAAACAAGGTTGATGAGATTATATACTAGCTAGATCAGCGGGCTAACAGGCAGAGGTTCGGTCCGTGGCGTACTAATTTACTCTGTTTTCTCTCGGGGAAATGTGCTCAGGGAAATGTGCTTTGATTCCTTTAAAGCACATTTACGGATGCATTTAATGATTCATTTACTGAATTGTATCCTGATGTATCTGCTGAATGATGCATTTAATGATTCGTTTCTTGATGCATTTCCCCATAGAAGAATATTGCGCACGGTGCCCCACGACTTTACTACATGTACATAAGTATGTCACGACTTTCCTCATACTATATTTGTATACATTTACAGATGTATTTTCATACCTCCTAGATCGTGCGAGGAAGGGAAGATGTGTTGATTTTATGTGTTGGAGATTGATTGATTGATTGATTGATTGGTAATTAATTGTGTGCAGCTCGGAGGCTGTGATAATTATATATTGGAGATGATGTAGTAAAGACAAACTTAAAACTCCGTATTGGGAGTAACACCAATGCCATGAATTGTATACATATGTAATTATGTAAATACCTATACGATTGCGAAATCTGGAACATGCTCGCTTGTACATACACTCGACGCCTCGAGCTGTCCCCAAGTAAGGGTGGTGCGGAAACGATAGCATCCGACAAATTAACGGTATTCAAAGTTTTGAAAGTCGGGTGGGTGAGCGGCGGGTGGGGTTTTTAGGGTGTAATTTTTGTAAAAATATGGCATTGCGACATCGGTTATGTATGGTAATTACTCATGTATAAGGGATGACTCATAGGTGGAATAAGGAGGCTTAGCGCTAGGATTATGTAATCAGGGGATCACGTGGTACTAAGAACTATCTGTATATAAGGAGCAACAAACTCTCAACAACTGTCGCTGGAACTCAGCGGCGCAATAGTATCTTCTTTGCACTATAAACATATTCCTCACAAAGGTCACGTGTTCAAACCCTCCTCAAGGCGTCTATTCTCCCACACTATTTTCCACAGGTTATGAGCCCGGGTTCTGCCAAATAGAATCCGCACTACACCATCGCCACCTCGCTTAACTCAACAACACTTCATACAACATCATGTCTACACATGGAGAATCGTCATCCAAGGCTGATGAGACTAAACCCTCAGAAACCACAGCCACCAGTAACATTCGTCTCAAGTTTGATGGACTCCCTAAACTACAAGGGCAATCCAACTACCAAACTTGGGCGAGTGCCTGGAGGATAACGTTCGATGATGTAGACTGGTGGGAAGCGTTGAGCATCGAGAACCCTGACGAGAATGACACCGAACTCAGCAAAACCGAGATAAAGAAAGCTCGTAAACAAATGCACAGCCTTCTCATCTCTGCTGTATGCGAAGAAATACAACCAACAGTCGTCTCCGCCGAAAATGCATTCTACGCATGGAAGGCGCTCAAAGACCTCTACGATCGTGTCTCACCCAACACCACGATCACCCTCCTCAGCCGCGTCCTAGACACGAAGATGCAAGAAGGCGGATCACTGACTGAACATCTCGCAACCTTCGATGCGAACTGGAATACTCTCAAGTCCAGATGCCAAAGCGCAGACCACAAACTCGCTCAGGCCCTCCTACCCCTCACCAAATCTAACGAAGCCATGGCGGCATTCCTCCTAAGCTCGCTACCCAAATCGATGAGCAACGTTGTCGACAACATCCAGACCAAACAGGATGTTACCTACGAAGACGTTCGCCAACGACTACAGAACCTGGATGAGGTAGCCCCTCAAACAGGAAACAAAGTGCTCCATACCAGGAGTACTACAAGCGACAAGGAATGCACCTGGTGCAAGAAAAGGGGTCAGCCTTACAAAGGCCACGAGTACACGGAGTGCAGAAAGCTCAAAGAACAGAACAAGAACAGGAAGGGAAGGAGAAAGGACAACTCGGCATCGGTTGTAGTAAATGACTCTACAACCACTATCTGTATGGTACGCCACGACATCTCCCAACCCCTTACTTGGATCCTTGATTCTGGAGCGACCTCTCACGTCACACCCTTCCAAGACCAACTCATCAACATCCGACCTCACACCGGCAATGTCCGAACAGCTGATGGAACCAACCACGCTGTCACCGGAATGGGAAGCGCTAGTTTCAGCTGCCACCTTCCCGATGGAAGTAGATCTTCCATACTCCTCACCGATGTGCTGTTGGTCCCAACCTTGGGAAATGTGGGATTGGTCTCCGAAACCGTGCTCGACAAAAAGGGATTTAGAACGGAGTCAGGAGGAGGAAGCAAGTTGGTTACAAAAGAAAAGAAAGGAATAATTTGGGCAAAATTGGAAAAGGGACTTTGGAATGTACAAGTAGTTAGCAATACAGTTCGTTTGACCACTTACGATGAATGGCATCAAGCGTTAGGCCACCCTGCGACACTAGAAAACTTGTATCACGACATTCAAAGGCTGCCTCCCAAACCAGAAAGTTTCCACTGCAGTCAATGTGCACTATCAAAAAGCGTATATAAGAAACCTGCACCAATTAGTACTAGATCCAAACGACCATTCGAACTAATCCACTCAGATCTATCTGGAAAGTTCAGTATACAGTCACAAGGAAAAGCTCAGTACTATATGTCCTTCATCGATGATTACACCCGCTTCGCATGGATATATCTCCTGAAACAAAAAGAAGACGCAAAGAAGGCCATCAAGGACTACGTTACAAGAATCGAGAAACAGTATAGCACAACAATACTGAGATTCAGAACGGATGGTGGTGGTGAATACATCAACAAGGACATAACGAACTACTTCGACACACAAGGAATAGTTCATGAACAGACTCCCCCATACACTCCTGAATCTAATGGAGTTGCAGAACGATTCAACAGGACGGTAACCACAATGGTCAGGTGCATGATCATGGACCATCCTAAGTCGTTATGGGGAGAAGCATACGCAACAGCTGTCTACCTCAAAAACAGGCTACCTCACAGTACGCTTAAGGGAAAGACCCCCTTTGAAGCCCTGAAAGGAACCAAGCCAAGTATACAACACCTTCAACCATTCGGTAAAAAATCCTATGTCCACATCCCAGAAAACTCTAGGCCAGCAGGAAGCAAACTAGCACCCCGAGCGTATGAAGGAATTATAGTTGGATACTCAGACAGTAGTAAAATATACCGTATCTGGATAGGAACACAATATAGGGTAATTGAAAGTCGGGACGTCACATTCCCCCCTCCTGAATCAGGGGAAGTCTCAGTGGAACTCGACTTCATCCCCAGCCTGAAACCGGAAACGGCAAATGCACCATCAGACGACGGATACGAATCAGAAGACAGGTCTGATCCAGAACCCGAGTCAAATGCAATCGAAGAGAACCGTACAGAAATGCCAGGATTGTTCCCGGAATCACCGGAACAGGTTAGAAAACCACCACCGGCTACACCAAACAAGAGAAAAGAACCTGCCATACCTATGGGACAACCGCGAGACCCAAGAGATAACTGGGAGACAATTCCAGCACCAATTGTACCATTCAAAGGCTTCAAAGGAAAACCACTTGTGTCAACGACACCCAAAGGTACACCACCACAACCTCCAAAACAATCAGATCCACCACCAGCTCCAAGACGATCGAATCGCGTCCGTAAGAAAATGGATTATGAACTTGATAAGGAAATAAGAAGGAAGGAATACAACAACAAGGTAATACAACTACAGGAACAACAAAAAGGATATATTGAATCAGTTAGAGAGGACGGTCCAATGGATCAAGGGGAATGTCAAGCAATGATTGAAGAATTCAAAGCCGACATCAGAAAAGCCAGAAAGGACCTGGACCTAGAATACCAAGATATATCCAATGAACCTGCGATCTACCGTGTACACCTTGTAACCGAACCTTCAACCTATCATCAAGCCATGAACAGCGACGATCAAGACCTATGGAAAAAGGCGATACAGACTGAAAAAGACGCCCTTGACAAAGCCCATACCTGGGACATTGTCAACCGACCAACCAACCGAGCAGTAGTCAAAGGGAAGTGGGTATTCAAAGTGAAACACAACCCGGACGGAACAATCGAGCGGTACAAAGCAAGGTACGTTGCTAAAGGCTTCACCCAAGTATAGTACCAAGACTACGATGAGACCTTCGCCCCCGTTGCACGATATGATTCTCTACGACTCCTACTAGCACTAGCTACACACAACGGTTGGATACCACAACAAATGGACGTCAAGTCAGCCTTCCTGTATGGTGTACTCAAGGAGGAAATCTACATGGAACTGCCTGAAGGCTACAGGCAGGACAACAAGGTTTGTAAACTTCGAAAATGCATATACGGACTAAAGCAATCACCCCGTGAATGGTATGCTTGCCTAGCAGACTCCCTTCAACGGAAAGGATTCGTCCCAGCCAAATTCGACCCATGCGTCTTCATACATAAAAACCACCATCTATACATATCGGTGTATGTAGACGATATCATGATATTCGGACCCGACTCCCCATTCAGAAAAGAAATCAGACAACTACTCAAGGCAGATTTCGAATGTACGGATCTCGGTAACTCGAAGTTCATACTGGGAATAGAAATAACGGTAACCAACAACGGTATCACGCTATCACAACGCGTATACATCAACAAGATCCTGGATAAATTTGGAATGAGTAACTGCAAACCAGTTGGCACACCACTCGAACCGAACCTCAACCTTCACAAAGGCGAACCGGAAGCCCAAATCGAGAAACCAACTGAGTACCAATCCATAATAGGATCACTGATGTACTCGAGCATAGCTACCAGACCTGATATCACCCATGCCGTTACCGCTCTCTCTCAGTACTCCTCATGTCCAACCGAGGACCACCTACGAGCAGCCAAGCGAACTCTCCGATACCTCAACGGAACCAAAGACTGGAACCTGTTCTACCCGAAGGGGAATACTAGAACACTCGACGGAATCTCAGACAGTTCCTACCCTTCAGACCTAGATGACAGAAAATCGTTCTCAGGATAAGTGTTCAGACTAGGGAAGTCAGCCATCAGCTGGAGAAGCCGGAAGCAGAAATCAGTCGCAGTCTCAACAACAGAAGCCGAATACATGGCCCTATCCCTCGCAGCTCGACAACTGGTATGGATTCGTAATGCCTTGCACGAACTCCAACAACAATACCAGTACTTCATACACGCCGACAACACAGGTTCTATTGAACTCTGTCGGAACCCACGCATCCACGACCGGCCCAAACATATCGACGTTCACTACCACTATACACGTGAACAACTCGAAGCCGGAACCTTCGAAATCCTCTACGTCCCTACCGAAGACAATGTCGCGGACATAATGACCAAAGGACTACCAAAACCAGCTCACCAAAAATTGTCAGAATTGATACGATGTGGCAAGTGAGGGGAAGTGTAAAAATATGGCATTGCGACATCGGTTATGTATGGTAATTACTCATGTATAAGGGATGACTCATAGGTGGAATAAGGAGGCTTAGCGCTAGGATTATGTAATCAGGGGATCACGTGGTACTAAGAACTATCTGTATATAAGGAGCAACAAACTCCCAACAACTGTCGCTGGAACTCAGCGGCGCAATAGTATCTTCTTTGCACTATAAACATATTCCTCACAAAGGTCAAGTGTTCAAACCCTCCTCAAGGCGTCTATTCTCCCACACTATTTTCCACAATTTTAATCCAATGAAAAGAGCCATCCGGGTTAAAACTTTGAGGCCCGGTTGTGGCCACGGTTGAGGCCCCGGTTGAGGCCAGGGTGAGTTTGCAGGGGTAGTAGTGATATTTAAACAAATTTTCACTACTTTCTTCGCCTTGACATAAAATTGCCATCATTCACGACATGGAGAGTTCAAAGAGTTCTCAGAACTCTTTACCAAATAATATCCTTGGTATCAATGTTTCCCAAACCGGCGTTTCGTTTCCGCCGGCCGTTTCGTTTCGCCAGAGGGGTGTTCTGCAAGATCTAACTCGCTACAACTATCATGAGACTTCTGATGTCTTTCCTGCATGTATGTTCTATAGCAGTCTGTTTTACTATACAGTATAATAACTCTTTTATAGTTGCGTCTCACCATCCACAATGGTCTGCATCTGCACCTGCACCTAGTATACCTGCACTGGCACCCGTTCTTGTCCAACAACAAAAAGGAGTCGCAACGCCGAGATTTCGGAATGATGCCCCGAGGAAATTTGAAGGGAAAACCGATACTTTGAGGAGTGGCAAGTGGGAGCAGGAGGAGCGGGATCTCTTATTGGAATGGTTAGGGAGGAATTTAGCCAATTATGAAGGATTCAAAATGCATGTCAAGAGTACTTGCATGAAGATCTCCGTGGAAGTGTTCCAGGGCTCAAGGACACCGGAAGGTATCAGAGGCCAGTGGGATCTGATGAAGAGAAAATACCATAAGGCAAAAGAACGGCTGAACTCAACCGGAGAGGGGCAAAGAGATGATAAAGAGAAATGGGCATCCATCAAGCTGTCATGGTTGGATAAGATTTGCCCGCACTATGAGCAAATTGATGATATTTTACGGAGAGATAGGGCGGTCACTCCTCTTTTTGTCTCAGAAACCGGTGGAGATTCAAACTTGGAATTTGTTAATGGTGAAAAGCTAAACTCTTTTCTGTCCGACAATTCCGAAGGAGAAGAGATCCATTGGTCTGCCTCTGATACCGAGAACCCACATCCACCGGCAGGGGGCAAAAAGTTGCCAACATTGAAGGAGTCGCCATTAAAGAAAGGGGAAACACGGGGTGATGGAGTGAAAGCTCTGAAGAGAAAAAGAGGTGGGGCTGAAGATGCTATTGAAACGATAGCACAGAAAAGAATTGATTTTGAGAAGACACGGTTGGAATTTGAACGGGAGAGGGATGAGCGTACATTCAAACTGATGGAGGAACGTGAGAAAAATCGGCATGAGGAAACAATGGCTAGGTGGCGGTTGATGGAACGAAAATTTGATCTTAAATACAAGCAGTCTGAGTAATATATTTAAGAAATTCTTGTCTCTTATCTGTTTCAGCATCCAATAATGACCGCTCCATCTGTTCTTCCCCATCGTGTTCCCCTAAATCTGCAACTGTATCAACTCCCACTGCGATTTCCCAATCTGTATCTTGTTCCAACAAAAGAAAATTGTGTATAATACAGGCACTTTCAAACCAATCAACCACATCTTTCTGTGTCTGTACATCTTTGATTCGAACTGGTACAGATGTAATAGCTGGAAATCTTGATTTAAGAATACCAAAAACATGTTCAATTACTATACGCCGAGAGCTGAGTGTTGCGTTGAACAACTTACAATCTGGACGGTTGGCAACTGGCTTCTTGAAAGGCGTCACCATATATCTGACAATACTCAATTAGTTGAAACCGCATAAAGATTATAAGAATAGAATCACACCTATTATTCGTGTATGCAGAGTCTCCAATCAAGAACTCCTCACTTGAGAAAAAACGGTCCGGGTTGAGTGCAAGTTGTGAATTATCAAAAACCCGTGCATCGTGAACAGCTGATGTATCTCCGACTCTTGTATAAATAATTCTCCCCTCATCATTGCAAACCACCATTGCATTGAGTGCATATGAACCCTTCCTATTGAAGTAGTAATACCAATCTGTTACGGGCGCATACTTTAGCACAATGTAGGTGCCATCTACAAACCCAACACAGTTCGGAAATACACCTAGAGATGCAGCCCGCACTCTCGCTTTGTGTCTGTTTCTTTCCTCATGTGTAGGCCACTTAATGTATCGCAGCTTCAAAGAACGGATAGCTCTCATTACACGCCGTACATAAAGCAGAACAGTACCTTCTCCAGCACCGACTGACAATCCTGTTTGTGTATATGTGTTTCCCGCTCCACCTAATTTATATAGAAAGACAGCTAACTGATACTGAACAGCTTTCAGCTTTGGTCCGCGCAGCCCGATAGCAAAAACAGAATGAGATTCAATCTCTGACGTCAGGTTTTCAAAGGAGTTGCGATCCATTCTGAAAACTGAGCGGAAAACTCTCGGATTTGATAAAAGCGGTTGATGAAACCAAGACTCTAATGTTACCGCTTTGGAGAGATGCGTGCTTCTGGAAAGCCAATATCTTTGCGCGTCGAGGGCTTCTATCATATCCTCCTTCATATCGGTATCCTCCAAAGAGTGCAAATGAGATTGAAAGATAATGGAGTCCGATTCAAGTTCAGGATTGGAATCAAACTCGGCATCTGTATCTGAATCGGAAGATGTATCCAAATCGGAGAAATCCAGTTGCCCATCTTCATTCAGCTGTTGGAACGGTTTTGGTATAGCCGAGCTACTGAATAATGGTTCAAAAAGATCCAATAACTGATTTGATTCCTTTGATTGGTATAGAGCATTCAGAAGCTCCTTTTTTTGAGAAATACGGGGCATTGTTGTGGTGTTTGGGTACGGGGGTACGGGGTTGAAAATTCTCAACACGCTATGTATTAGGTTAAGAACGGGTGCTTACTACTCAACAACCATGCATGGCGGGTATAAATAGACCCGAAATTTAACTTCTACAGGTTATTTAGGCCTAGAAACAACTCACCACAATAATAATATCTTATTCCTAAGAGTTCATAATTCAGTTTTTGAATATATCATCAATTTATTTAAAATTATCATATCAAATCTGTTCATACCTCAACAACTAATCATCGTGGTATCAAACAGATGATAGGAGTAGATTCTACGCATAATTTGGGTCTAGAAATGATCTACATATATACTTCCATCTTGTTGTATGGGTTGTACACAATCGTTATGGAAATATTTCTCCAATTCATCGAGGATTACCATTTCAAATCTCTTCATCGCTCAACAACCAACAATCACAGGATCAAACCGATACTCGGAGTAGATTCTACGCATAATTTAGGTCTAGAAACAACTCAAGTTCATGCTTATATCTCATTGTCTAAACTGTACGCCATGATTATGAGATTTTTTTACTAGATTTTAAATACTTCAGTTTCAAATCTCTTCTTAGCTCAACAACCAAGTATCGCGGGATCAAACGGAAAGTGAGAGTAGATTCTACGTGTAATTTAGGTCTAGAAATATCTTTAAACTCATGTTATATCTAATTATGGGGGTTGAACGAGAATCTTTTGAAATTCTTTTTTCTGAACTCACCGGTACTATCAATGACAAATTTGCTTATATCTCAACAACCAGCAATCGCGGGTACAAATAGACAAAAGATTTGGAATCTACGCATAATTTAGGCCTAGAAACAACTCACAAATAGTATTCTATCTTCTTTTAAAGCACAAAGCTATAAATTTACATTTTCCTCGAGGGGTTCCTCTAGAAAGTGGACCCTAGTGTCATTGACACTAAGCCAAGACACACTAAGCCAATATAGGAGATCTCAACCATGCCAACCTGTCTCAACCGGCCACAAAGCAGGATGAGATCTTGTGGTGCGGATGAGCTTTCCCCCACCCACCCCTTACCCAAAATAACCTAAACCCCTACACTAAAAAGCCCACCCGCCTCTCATCCAACCGACTTTTAAAACTTTGAATACCGTTATTGTCTCCAACCATTCAACCAAAGCGGTCACACGGTCTAGTAGCGCTAGGTAACGAATCGGGTAATGAATCGTTTTCAGCAGGTAATATTTGTGTGGGAAATGTGTGTCGGGAAAGTGACCATCTGAGCCATAGGCCATGTCCTGAAGAAATGAATCCGATTTACCTGTGGAAAGGCATCCGAGAAATGAATCGTAAGTCTCATTGGACGAGTTTCTTGACCAGTTTCTTGACACAAAGCCCGTCTCCTGTTGCCAAAAGTGGTAGCCATATGCGGTACTACTTGGTGTAAAAAAAATGAAAAATAGAGGAACTGAACCTAGGTTATTCAGCTAACAAAACCTAGAATCTATCACTTGAGCTATGAATAATTATAGTTCTTACCTACCTGTGCATCTATAGACTGAACTAATGCGATTTCTTCAGAATTTCACTAAATTTCACTAACTCCGGATTAATGCATCCCGGAAATGCATCATAGAAATGCATCATGGAAATGCATCATGAAAATGCATCATGGAAATGCATCAAACGGCCCTGGAAATGCATCCCCCGTCCCATTTCCAACCAATCCCCTCAAGAAACGAATCAAACGATTCGTTTCCCAAATTTTCTTTGTAGGGAAAGGCATCGTTTGGTTCATTTCCCGACCTACTACGTACGTAGTACATAACTAAACGACCGTACCAATTTACATTATCACTGCCATCATTAGACACATATGTATGTTTTGAAATTCAATTGCTTAATAGGGTTAGGGTTATCCTAAGGCATGGATACGTGAATGTAAAAGTGTCGGTAAAAGTGGACTCCAACTTGATTGATACGGGAATCTTTGAATATTGAGATAAAACAATTTACAATTTTAATCACCTAATTTCGTGTAGATAACTGATTCGTTTACTCACGTCAACTTTGTCGATTCATTTGTGGGGCTATGGTTGGTATGGAGTGCAGGCGCAGTACACTGCTATTGCCCGGGGCGATGCATTGTCATCGGTCCGGATGTTACAGCTGAGGGGGCGTATGGGTTGACGAAGAGGTATAGATATATAGGCGGGGTCGATATAAGGCTGAGAACTTCCACGCCGTAGATTATCTAATCGGAATTGAAAAGTAGGTATCACTGTATGTTGCAAAGCATGTAAACCTCGGGTCTTCCATACTCGGGAATTGTGGGGTCGTGGGGGTGGGGGCTCTGTGGCGGTACCTAAAGTGCTTCCCAACCCTTCAACCCGAACCGCAGCTCCCACCATAGGGAAGGGGCCTTTCAATCAAGCAATCATTGTCGTATTGCCAATTCGGCTCGGTACGGGTATACAAGTAGATCGATCCCTGGTGTCGCGTTCAATTGAGTACTCATGTAGCCCCCCTACCTCTTGATAAGCGAAGTTCTCGATGATGATGTTAAATTTAGGTATCACAGTTTATCTAAGGGTCCAGAGCCAATTACCTTGATATCGGATATCACAGTTCTACACACATAAGTATGGTGGTTGAATGGAAATAAACGCCGGGAATGCCTTACAGGATCGCCCTGCACATGTCAGGTGTTGACGGGGCAGTTTAAGTGAACGGGAAAGGGCTTGGTCGGGTTAGTCCACCCCTAGTCAACCATGCAGTGCAACAGTCCTAAACTGGACTACATATATTGGGGTATTTTTTAAGCCTTAAACAAGCCAACTCGACCTCGCTACCTTAAGGAGCTGCTAGTCCCGCGAGTCGCGATCGGTCAAGGCGCAGTAGGTACAGGAACCACTAGATCACGAGCAGCTCACGTGGCAACGCTAGTAAAAAGCCTACGAAGAGCCAGCAAAAGGCAACATGGAGGACAAGTTTAGTTTAGCACGAGGATAGGGCCGTCCTGTCAATCTTCCTCTTGTTCTACTGTCATCATCATTCTATTCGTCGGAGAGAATACCATCATCGTTATGTATTCGTCGTTCTAGCTTCGTCCTTGGAGAAGGACCAAGAGGTACAGAAGCGTACAACGTTTGGTAGGTAACGTTAGCTCTAGCAAAACTGTCCATGACTAATATATTGAACATTTAGAAGTAGAATTTTTATACGGTAAAAGAATTAGTTCACCATGTGATGTTAAACTTTAGTTTATCATTAACGGATATCAATCAAAATAAGAAAAGAAACTAATATATGACAAGAAGTATATGAATGATAAAAGTCTATAATGTACTATCGCTAAGTTTTCTAACATTGGAACGGTTTGATTGGCTGCTGAGTGCAGGGATGTTGATTAGTCAGCACGACACATCAAAGTACTGAGCACTGACGAGAGGAGGAGGATGGGGCCGAAGGCCCCTCATGATTGTAGAGGGAGAATTAAATTTTATTTGATACCCATAATTCAACGTACAACTCGCGGTCGCGAGTTGGCACACCCCTAGTATGTATGTATCAAATATATAACAATACGTTTTAGAGAAATATACCTGGTCTACTAACGTACTAAGCGTCTAACGTATTTTACTGTGCAACCGCCCAATACCGGGTAACCGCCCGGGTGCGCCCAGGGTGTGCCCGGCGCGCGCGAACCAAAACTTAAGTCTCGAGGTAGTGAAAAAATCTGTCGATTAAACCAAAAATGCCGAGATATAAGGGAAAACAACTGGAGGAGAGGGAGAAGTTAATCCAAGATGCTCTATCACATTATAATACCTCTACTAAACCCTCTATGCGCGCTTCTGCTGACACTTTTGGTATTCCCTGGACCACATTAAGAGATAGGCTAAATGGGGCTCAAAATCGCCGAGATGCGCACCGCTCAATGCAGCTACTATCTGAGCATGAGGAGACTACTATTGTGAGGTGGTGTGAGCGGATGGATGACTGGGGGTTCCCATTAAGGTTATCTCTAGTAAAAGAGATGGCTGCCTATTTGGTAAAAAAAAGGGAAATAGGGAGGAGGCTAGGAAAGCACTGGTTAGCCCGGTTCCTGCAAAGGAACCCAGAGCTAGCTTCAAAATTTAGTGCTAGACTGGATAAGCAAAGGGCATTGGTTAGTAACAAGGATTTGATTAGGGATTATTATAAAAATGTATGGCCGCTCTCAAGCCGCACTAGCCGCATTCCGGCCGCACTAGCGGCACTAGCACTAGCTTGAAAATGCGCTAACAGGGGCGTGCAATAGCTCAAGCAGGTTATCACTCTATATGATATCCTCCCAAAAGATAAATACAACATGGACGAAAAGGGGTTTATGATGGGTATTGCAGCTAAGGTGAAGGTTATCTGCCGCTTTGGGCGGAAAAATCCCAGGTTAACCTACTCCTGTAACCGCACATGGGTGACAGTTATTGAGGCAGTCTCGGCGGCGGGGGTACCGGTACCCCCTATGATAATTAACCAGGGTGTGGCGCACTACATAGGCTGGTATGTGGGGGTTCAGAAGAGCGGCGATGCAGCCACATTCTTCTACTCCCCAAAGGGTTGGACTGATTCTAAATTGGGTATGGAATGGTTAATTGAGAATTTTGATAAGCATACTAGTAATATGTGAGTAACTCCGCCGTGTTTTTGAGGCTCTTATTGACTAGTGGATAGAGCTAGAGGTGCATATCACCTGCTGATCTTGGATGGGCATGCCAGCCATGTAACATTTGAATTTTTCAGTTATTGTTTGGACAACAAAATTATACCATTTTGTTTACCACCGCACTCTACACACCTTTTACAGCCATTAGATATTGGTTTATTCGGTCCTCTTCAATGTCATTATAGTAACATTTTGGATGAAAATATGGAGGAAGGAGGCGGGGATACGGAGATCAACAAGGGCACATTTCTAAATTGAGTATAAACCGGTACTAGTGCACCGCATTTGGCTAACCATATGCAGCTATCTATTTGAGGCTAGGAGACGCGCATACACCAAGAAAAATATCCTCGCAGCTTGGGACAAAGTGGGTATAGAGCCATTTAATCCCCGCCGGGTTTTAGATTACATCGTCGCTCCACCGCCAAGCGTCACCTTTCCTATTTCAGGACCCACTACCCCCCGCACTACTAGAATGGCTAGATCAACTGCTAAAGAGGCTTTTGGCCTACAGTTTCTGGTAGAATTATTGCGAAAACAGGGGTAGGCGAGTGAGCTAAAAAACGCCTAGCGAATATCAAAATTTGGGTGGCGAACGGGTGAGTGAATGTGAACAAGTGAGTGAACGAGTGTATAAATTTCTATTCTTCTATGACTACCAGCGGGTGTGCCCTCCATTTGCATCAATGACTGCCTGTATACGCTCTGGCATATTATCTACATATTTAGTGATCTCCTCTGCAGTAATAAGATCCCATTCTTCCAATATTGCTGTCCTAATCTCTTCTCTTCCTCTAGGCCTCGGTCTCCTGGTATTCAGGCGGTCCTTCAAGAGACTCCAAATGTTCTCAATTGGGTTCAGATCAGGTGAGGAGGGAGGCCAGTCAATGGTAGGTATCTGGAAGTATTCACGGTGTTGCTATTATGCGGGTCATATCAGTCCAAGAAAAAGAAAAAAATGCGGAAAAAGAAATACTTGACAGCATATGTATTGAGAACTCACCCGAGTAAGTGTTGCAGTATGAGCTGGGGCTCGGTCTTCCATCAACCATAACCATTGCCCATTTGCATGACTTTCCCAAAACCAGAAGGGGTGTATAAGGGGTACGAGGATATGATTGCAGTATGTATGTGCTGTAATTGTCCCCCAGTCCTCTCTTTCCCATATCCTAATTGTTTTCCTTCCACCTGAACCCAGAATACCCCCCCATATCATGATTGAATCTTTTTTCGCAAATTTAGGGGCAATACAATCATCATGCCATTTTTCCTCAACTGCACGAGTAACATATATCTTTCTGCGTGACCCTCCCAACCAGATATAGCATTCATCTGTCCATATTACCTTCCTCCAATCCTCTCTCGTCCAATGGCGGTGTTGGAGGGCGAATCGTAGTCTTTTGTCTCTTTTGATTTGGTCTAAAAAAGGCTTTTTCCGTGCGATCCTACGATGATAGCCCTCTTTTGCAAATGCAGTCCGTAGGGTTTTGTCAGAAGCCTCAATTCCCATCTCGTTGGCCACTTCACTGTAGGGCTTCCGGCGATTTTCTGATGTAGAAGTAGCTGCAAATACAAGCCTACGGCGGGTAGGAGTATCAATCTTTACTTTACGCCCACACTTTCCTACCCTCTGTGGTGTAGCTGGTCCACTACATATTCCGTAAACAGTTAAAAGTGCTAGACCTTGGTCTCTAGCAATCCGCTGAAATGTCCAACCTGCATTATTCTGAAGTTCTTGTAGATAGCATCGCTGCTTGTAACTGACATCTTCTGTCCGGATCGAAACCATAGGGAATGAAGGAGAGGAAACCATCAAAAGTGCTTTACAGGAGTATCGAAGGCAATTCACACTTTTTAAATTGCAAATTTTTTCTATCATTCTTCGTTCGCCACTATCATGATTGATGTTCACTTCCCACCAATAGGACCACTCGCCACCTTTCAAGACCCACAACCTTTTAGCGCACTCGCCTACCCCTGTTTTCGCAATAATTCTACCGGAAACTGTAATATATGGTACTAGTGATAGTGCAGTCAAGCTAAGGAATTTGATTAAGTAGATGGATAAGGGCCTGCAGATTTCTATTACAGAAAGGGAGATATGCGAGCATATTAGTGCACAATTCCGGAAATCTGTTGCCAAGAAATCCGCAAGGGCAAGCACAAATGACAGAAAAGTACTTAGTAAGGCAAGGGTTATCACTAGTGAAGATGTAGAGAAATTAAGGGAGGCCAGAAATGCGGCTGATGCTGAAAAAGCGGCTAAAGTTGTGGCTAGAGATATCAAGAAGAATTTGAAGGAGGAGAAAGGGACTCCAATTCCGAAAATTGAAAGGCAAAAGGGCAGGAAAAAGGTTACTATATTAGACGAGACTATTATTCATCATTTAGAGGGTGGTGATGGGGTGGTAGAGGAGGAACCAGAATGGGCAAATATTGAGGTTTTTTCGGAAATTCAGACCCCCCCACTACCCGCAAAACCTAGAACATGTGGCAGAAAAAAAGCTTGTAGTAAATAGTCTATCTCATATTTTTTTCATATTTATTAGAAATTTATTGCTAGTTCTATACACTTTTCTTTCTGTCCTCGAATAATGAGTTTGGTTGGGCGGTTACCCGGTACTGGGCGGTTGCGCCGTGAAATACGTTACCACAAAACCTTTAACCTTCCAAAGTGCTTATTATACCTAGTAACGCCAAAATACCTGTCCATCGTATAAATGTCAGTACAATTTACTATTATAGAAGAACACTGGGAATCGACCTACCTCCGCTTGCGGTCAAGATGTAGCTGGCTACAGCCATGGCAGTCTGCACATCTCCAGTAAGCGCACTCCATAAGAATGCTGTGATGACACTGCCAATCCATGGTACTGCTGCTAGTATCACTATTTTACGACCATCCCAGCCCTGCACAAACTCTAGCCCATAGCGATTCGGCGACAATCCTTTGATCCTGAAAATCCAATCAACCCAATCGTTCGTTGTGGATATCTTATGAGGTTTGTTGAATGCGTGGAGAATAGAGTTTCGTGAGGCTGCATCGAGCTGTAAAAGAGCTGGAGATTCAGGTTGTGTGTACTGTTAGGTGTGAGCAAGACATAGACTTCTTGATCCGAATCATTTTTGACGTGACATACCTCTATAACTCCGATGTACTTGAGTCCTCTAAGAGAGAAGAATCGCTGCCAAAATGACCGCAATTCTACGTTGTATGTTCGTTTGAACTCCAGAAACAATTCTTTATCGGTTGTGTTTTCCATATTCGGATGGCTTCGAAAGACCGCTACACGATAGTTCTTGGCAGTGCGCATCTGGGCGGAGTGGATACAGAGGAGTATAGAGCAAGCGGTGGAGGCAACAGGCGGTGTGCTATACCTATTGTCTTCCACATTCCCGACCATCGGTGGAAAGATAACTCCATTGGGTGATTTGGCGTCTTCCGCGCTAGTAATCGAGGGTGTACCGATGGTAGGAGGGATGACGGCGGCGGGTGCGGCCACCGTCCTAACACCCTCGCCATACTCAGCAGTGACGGAGTTCTCAAGTGGCGATGGTGTGCGTGATCTATATTCCGGATCGGGTGACCGTTCTAACCAAGCATTAGGTGAGGTTCTTGGGAAGCTGTAGGCATTAGGTACACGGGGGAACGTTTGTTTACGGGTCAACGTGGGCGAAATCGAAGTCATATCTCTGGTATGTATGAAGAAGATGGCGGACTCATGGAATTCTGTAATTCCTCCTGGCAGTTTTATGTAGGTTTGGTCAAGGTAGAACTTATATAAACTCTAGATGGATGCCACTGAGTGCAGTAGGCGAAGAATTTTTCAGACTGTTGGCATACTGCGGTACAATACCTGGCTGCAAGGCTGGCTTGTCACTTTGTTGCTGAATTGCAGTAATGACGAATCGAACTTGGCCTGGGTACATTTACTTACATGTCGTTCAGAAACCACTGAAGGTTCCGTGGGATGGAGCCTCAACACACGTTTGACCAATATCATGTTCGGTATTCACAATATTTTGCATGTGCGTACAAGTCACTATATGCAAGAGCTTGAAAACGCGACATGAGCAGGGAGGCTGTTCCGGTCGGGATTGGAATTTTTATGCACCAGGAAAGAAGCGAACACGCCAAGAGACTTGATGTAGGTACCGTATCTTAGTCTACGGTGAACTCAGAAATTTCCCAATATGATATGACGGATCCAATTGCAAAGTATATACGTATTGCTCACTTGCTCACTCACCCAGTGTGTGTGCAATGAGACGTCAGTTTGGCGGTACAAACCGGTAAAAAACTAAATAATAATGAGACAGTTAGTACAGTTTGAGCTTCAAGCGATGGTGGATTTAGTGAGACATGATGTGTGTGTGTGTGTGTGAAGTCATTTGAATTGTTTCTAGGTACAATCATCGCATGCAGTAAAAACTATGGCGTAAAGACCTATCCCCAATGCCAGTCCCCCAATTATAGTAACTATGGTATGCTACCAACCGCACTCCTCTTACAAGGTTGATGACTAAGGAAACCCCCGCCTAAGAAAAAAGGAAAAAAATAAAGATAACACAAAGGAAAATAGCATAACCAAAGAAAAAAAAGTACTAGTATCCCAAAAACTCCAGCTATAGTGACTATGGTATGTCACCAACCGCACATCCCCTTAAAGGGCAGATGGTGGGGGGGAGAGAGGTTTGCCGACCTGGAAATGACGACTTGAAGGAGGAGGAGGAGGAGGTAGAGGGTTGGGTTAGGAGCCCTGTATGAAAGGACCCCCAGTGAGGGTGGGTTTCGTCAGTGAAGAGAAGGCCCGGTGGTTGAGGTTGATAAAGGCTAACCAAGCCATCATGCGAAATGTCTCTTGTTTTCATATGACCCGAGTCATGGGAGGAAAAGGATCGAAGCGACTAGTCTTGGCAAAAGAAGCCAAAGAAAGGTCTTTATTAAAGAGGATCCCCGCACTTCGTCAAGTCTTGGCGGAGTTGAGAAGGGGTTGTCGGTTGCTTGAGAGGGATGTTACTGAGACATGATACACCCTAAACTGATATAAACCAACTGACTAAATGGTACGGAGTATTGTTTTTCCGCTGCCTTCGGTAGAACCTTCACCAATCCGGAGCAACATTCGGCTCTAAACACCCACGAGGAACCCTAACCCACATACCATTTAGATAAATGGTATTACCAGTTTACCCATATTGGAAGAGGTGGTTAAATAGTTAGTACAATTTTGAAGTCCTGCTGGTACAGTTAATACAATACGCGGACGTGTTCATACCGGTTTGCACCATTGCAAACACTGCACTCACCTACTATCAATGAGCCTTTAGCTGCGTGAGTTTAAGAGAAGGTCGAGCCTGTTAGACAGAAAGTACAGCAATTTTAGGGAGAGGCTTGAAATCGTTCAACTGATGAGATATGCAGGACCTCTTGACGGAGTACTCGACTCCTGTTCAACTCGTGCAGCTCAAAGGCTCTATCGTGTCCCCTTCCGCTCTTGTTTGCTTTGGAACGTATTGATATATTGTGTTCCCTTCCTCCTGACTTCAACTGGGAAGCTTCCTTGCTCACCTGTATTCCCTTCTCGAGTTATGCATGCCTTCTTCTGCTCCGGTGGATATAACGAAAAGTGTAATGGAAGATTTGACTAGTATTAGACAGGTCGGCCAGAGCCGGATGTGTATAGGAAGGGCAACATTCTAGGCTTTGGATGTTGCATGAGGCAATCGTATTAAGGGAGCCCCGTAGGATTTGAGAATATTCGTTGCGCCTCAGCAGGGATATAAGCCAACCAGAGGCAATATTTGGACGTCAATATGCAAGCTTTGGGAGAGAATGCCCCTGCTGCAGCGCAACAAGGTCTGGAGGCTGCATGCATTTATGTACAGCCCGAAAGCCGTAGCGTGGCCGATCTGAATTCAAGCTCCACCTACAAAGCCTCCTATATACACAGCCATTTAATCTTGCAGAGCCCACCGAAATTTACTTCACGCTCTACGCGTAGCGATATAAGCAATATTGAATCTACAAAATTTGATATCCCTTAAGCTGTCGATGCCAGTTCCCCCCCCCCCCCCCCCCCCCATAACAGGGGAATTAGATTTATATGAGACATCTATTATTTGATGAGAGAGATAACAGGATTTGTTAGTAAAGGCACACCGAATCTTCTTTCTCTTTTTGGTGTACCAGCATTTTCACGACAGCCTAAGGGATACTTCAGCCACGAGCGTAATAACGCCCACTTTGGTCATTGGCTAGTTCTCGGAAAGCATCTGTCAGGCCATGCCTATCCCTCTCGGCGGAAATTATCACCGGACATACTTACGTATGATAAGGATAGTTGGCTCGGACGGTTTTCAAGCAGGGTGGCATCTAGTTGAAATAGCTACAAAACAGATGCAGCGGTGCGCAGGTAGTAAGTTTCTGTGGAGTTGAAAAATTTGAAAAACAATGTGGCGTGATGATCCTCGTACACAGCCTTGCTACCGTTGACCAGATCTGCTGAAGCGATATTTGGTTACATCTTTTTCCTGGGCGATTAAGAGCTCTCCGAGGCCGGAGGAGCTGTCGGAGCTCAATCGCTGTCGGAGCTCATGCTCACTTTGCAAAGATTAATCTCTACTTTACCGATAACACACTTTAGGCTCACCTAGGAAATCTAGACCGGGACAGCTAGCGCTAGTACAGTCATTTCTGGGTCCACGGCGAACCTAGTTCGAAGGCAAATGGGTCGATGCGCGCTTTTGTAGCTTGTCTTCGACCGGTCATAATGTAGGTCATATTAGTGCCAAGAAAGTCGATTCTAGTAGCACAAATTTCTATGTACGTGAATAGCACGTAGTAATTGTATATATAATGAAGTACAAGATGGTTTTCATTCATACAAGTACTTTACTGCCTAGGGGGGTATTTTTTTAAGCCTTATTTTAGGCTTATATAAGCATGATATTTGCCTTTTTTGACGATTTTCTCTTATTTCTTTTTAAAGTCCTTATTAGACTATGGTTTGGCTAAGATTTAATTTTTTTTCAGGCGTATTGAGCTTGATCAGTCTTATTTAAGGTATTTTTGAAAAATAAGGCTGAATAATGTTTATTCGTGAGATCAGCATGATAGCCTGATAGGTATACGTTTACACTTATTCGCTATAGTGAATTTCGGAAATGAAGTTTTTATTAATACTGAATTTAATATGTACATTGATTTAAGACAATCTATTTAACCCGCCTACCTGCCTACCTGCCTACCTGCCTATCGACCTATTTCGCTCAATTGGGTGGATTTGGTGCTCGATTCGCTGCTGCTAGATTCGCTGATTAGCCTATGTTTTTGACGATTGGGAGATGGTGGGGGGGTGGGGGGAGATGGTTAGGACAATAGAGGGGACGGAGGTGATAGAGAGGTAGAGGGGAGGGTACTTGTATTAAAGAACAGATGGAAGAACACGGTTTAATATTTGCTAAGTGCCTAACCCTAACCCAGCCTTAGCACCCGTAAATGCCTATAATCCTGACGAATTTTACTAATTCTTATTTATTCGATAAATCTAATACCAGAAGAGGTTTTAGAAGAGCTTGATTTAGAGATAATGCTGAGCAAAATGTCTTATTCTTTGCTTTTTTGAGACATATGCCTTATTTAAGGCTTTTCTACGTCTTAGGGCTCAAAATAAGGCTTATAATTTATGGGGTAAAGGCGGTAATGTATCTACTGTACAAACTATTTATGGGCATAGGTGGCCCAGACGCGCCTTACTAGTCACTTGGCAGTAGGCGCGCCAGGCGAGGTACACCTATGCCCACCGGCACCGGGAATCCAATTACCTTAGTAATCAGTACATTGTACCCAGGGTGTTGGAAAGTGATGCACATTTTGGCTTGGCAAGTGAATGAGACTGAACCTCAACTCCAAAGACGCTGTACACTCAATTACTAATCAACGATTCATGATCGGGCTAGTGTACCTACTCGTGTAAAACGTCCATGGGTTGAGCCGGGTTAATTGCGCACGCGTTGACCGCCGGTGCGTACGAATTATCGAGGTGTGTGCATGATCGACGAGCTAGCTCTGGGCAAGGTGAGTATAATTATAAAGTGGAAGCACTGCCAGTATACTATAAATTGTGTTGATAAATGAAAAAAGTCTACACACGTTGTGTCCTCCGAGTTCGGGAATAACAGCCATGGCCAAATTGTTCCCGGATGCCCCCCATTCGCAACAAACACACCATTCCAAAATTGAATTACTTGAAATTTGAGATAGGAATGAGGCCAACGTGGTCACGGAATATTAATGCCACAACTGGCTCCGAAAGCTACTTCGACATGGCTGTAAACGTCTACTCCACATGTACCTGCTTCAGCTCACAAGTTCATAGAGTAAACCTATCTAATGAATGTATGTGTGGACATTTGGGTATGCACCTCAGTCTTGATAAGTGCACGGTCTGCGTGTAGCTGATCACGATATCAACAAATTAAATTATGGGTGTTACCCAGTATAGATACAAGAAGCCCTGAGCAGCCCTACGAAAACTAAACAAAAATGAGAAAATAGAAGCTGGAAATCAGTCATCATCATCGCTACCCTCAGAATCATTGTCATCTAACTCTATAATCCCATCTTCCAGACTTTCAACGTGTACTGGTGGTGGTTTTTCGGCCTTACCCAGCTCTTCGTCGTCGTTTTGGTTGATCTATCAATTAGGTTAGCAGGATGCCAGGACACAGGTACGATAAAAGAAAGAAGAACTCCACTTACGGTGCTAACGATTGCACCTAATAGCAGCTTCGGTAACTGCTGTTTGTTAAACAATGACCGCTTCAAGCTGGGGGGTAGAAAATCTTACCACATCCCACTGCGATTCCTTATCACTAAGTCTCTCTAATGCATACTCGGCTGAAGCAAGTGTTAAAATGTATCCATGGTTAGAGAAGGTTCATTCGGGACAATACCTCTCAAACAGTCCACAGATTCACAACACTCGTCAAGGTCAGCGAGAAGATTTGCGGCGCCGCTGTCGTTACCAACGCGTGAAAAGTGGAAGGCGACAGCTATCCCAAAACAGTCAGTATGACATGCATGAAGAAAGATCCGGGATTCGTTACATACCGTCTTTTCCTGCACCCCCTTGCGCCTCTAACTTCTGCACACATTGGTCGATGACATTCCGAAGATGATTCTTTGATTCCCCTTCCGGCTATAAAGCAGGTAAAAGCGTTAGCGGAAGCGTGACTAACACTGGATTAGATTACCTACCCCTCCGTCGGTAATAGTCATGACCAAGAGCGGCTTCTCCATAGGTGCATTCGGATTAAAGACAAAGTTATCAAGCACCTTTTTCTGCAACGCTGAGCCGATCTGCGTTGTTCCCCAGAAAGCATGCTTCTTCAGTACATGTGAAACCCGCCGGTTATCGATATTCTTGTACCCCTTCATGCAATTGATGAACTTAACAGATACCAACCCTTGATCAGGCGCAGGTCGTGCTAGGTCATACACCATAGTGATCTTTTTCATCGTCTTTAGGAGTATATTTATGCGATTTCCATCTTCTTCATCGCTCATGGACGAGGAGTCATCTAGCACCAAGCGTAAGTATCGGTACCCCGAAGAATGGATTATACATGTCCTTTCCATACCAATGAGCATTACCAGGTCGTAAAGACATAGTATCGAAAGTTGCTTTGACGTCTCTTTCCCGCATTTCTTTTTACGAAGCTTATTTACCATGTCTGCGGCATCAACAGAGAGTTTCTCTAATTGTTGCTCACTGTAGAAGCTCCTGAGACCCGGCTTCTCGTGGTCAATGAACTTGTTGAAATTTTGCAAACATTCCTTAGCAGTGATGGTTTCAATATCTTCGGGGTGAGGGGTAGCATTTGGAGTAGGTGGCCGACCATCTTTAATTCCGAATCCGAATTTAGTCTTAATATTGTCGAGCTTGGGCAAACTCTTTGTTAAGCTTGTAGCCTCCTCTTGAATGCCTGACATCTTGCAACTTTGATGGTTTAACGAAAAAGTCGATTGGTGCTCGGAGAATTAGATAAGTTTATATTCTTTATTTAGTGGGAGAGGGGAAAGGACATATATATAATCAAGAAAACACGTAGTAACTGCGCATGCAGATTGGGGAGCAAAGAGGTGTCAGTTAAGTGCCAATTGAATACATGGGAAAAATCCGGCGGGCAATAGTTGTTATCCTGCTACAGCAATCATTTCAAACCCTCCTACATACAGTGTTTATGAGTAGATCAATGAAAGGAGCTCGTATATGTTGTGCGAGGTACTCTAAGGGAAAATCCATCCCCTCAGACGTCATCTTCCTCCCAATTTACGTTGAGTTAACACACGGTTGAGTTCCAATTATTACAAGATAAGTTTTGAAATGCAGGCTCTGTTATCATTGATTCACGGGATTGACTAGAGATATGGAAACCCAGTCCGTCTACATCTCAACTCAATACATCAAGATCATGGAGTCCGGGGAGGCTGCGAAACATTATTGCGAGTAATAAGAAATCACAATTTTTAAAGATTTCCATCACAGGGCCATGTCACGCGCCGAATCCCCTTGTTTTCAATTGATACAGAGGGGGGTAGACCTCACCTTACATATCTCAAAACGTACCGTTGTTGACACACCTGGAGCGTTGTTCAGTGCCTTGAGACATCGCGAACCTATCTCTGTTTCAGGTTCAACACCAACCAATAAGTACTCCATAGTTACGCATGGGATTGAATATGCAGACTATTCTTCTTTGGTCGTCGGTGATGTAAGAGTACTCGATCGCGATCGTCGGGACCACATTGATCAATTGAACGAGGAATTTTCAATCAGCCCGCAGATCAACCCCACCTGCCGAGAGTCGAGTACTCCACGCTACATAGTGTACGGAGAAACAATTCGTTGCCGGATGTATGTATCATGTATGAAAAAACTTCTTGGGATCGCTACTCTGCCAGTAATATCAAGACCAGAGCTGCCAGCTATTACACGCAGAACTCGGCAACGGCAAAGCATGAACGCGCCGGAATCAGTGATGTTTTTTTACTTTACATTGGGGGACAAATACGAACGATAGAGGATTCAATAGTGAGATATGTCTTGTATTTCAAGTGAATTTGAATTGAATAATGAAAACGATTTTTCACCTAGTGGCAAACGCCCAACAATCAGTCGTCGTAAATTATAGAGGTTAATGAGGAACGGCGACTAAGACACACGTGCACGACCCCGGTCTTCACGCGCGCAAGTCATGATTACTGATATTACTATAGGTCTGGAGCAAATAGAGTTTAGCGATTATTAGGGTTAGGGTTGGGTACCTCATTATCTTCATTCTTTTTCAGACTATGAGGTCTGAACCGTAGTTGACAAGGCTTGCATAATTCCAATATTTCAGCCCAGTAATGAGCCTAGTATAAAACCGTGTTTATTATGTAAGTTATCGGTATAGGGGGTCCCTGTGTCTCGAGTTAAAAGAAACATTAGATCCCGCGGAGATGGCCATCCTGGTGAAATGTATTGCAGAAGAAGGACAGATATATCTGATTCAAGGCAACCTCTTTTGCTTATTCGAGAAAGGGTTGGTGTTTGTTTCGATGGCTCAAGCGGTGGTTATCGGAACATGGTACTGAGGATCGCATCTCATTTACGCATACGTTGAGATCGAAAAGGGGTCAATCGGTAGGGAGAAACCGTGGTTGTTAGCCATGATCTCAGGTCCCATACATCTACAATTCCTTGTGTACTATCCCTTAGACTGGTAAGATATGCAGATTCCCTGACTTCCTGATTAGGGTGTGGTAGATTGACTTCGCCATTGAGCAAATGATCATTTTTACAGAGGCAGTCACTTAGCCACCACAGATAGTGCCCAAGTGAGGAAGTCAGGGAATCCGCATCTCTCACAAGACCAAGAATAGGGCCACTGTAAAGCCAGGCTACTCTACATAGAGGGGAATATGATATTTGAAGAGCTATCGCCCTGCAGCAGATCATTCTCCACGAGGTTTTGTGGCTTGGACTAGTGCTAGTTCACATGCAAGATGAGGTCAACTCTGATAAGTTCTGGACTGTCCTACTGAATTGCTCTAAGATTTCTTTATTTTTGGGGTTGGAATTAGTGCTACTAGTTGAGTTCGGATTCAAGTTCTGATGGATATTAACCATTCTGCTTTAATAAATCATGATATACGAATCAATACATCTTCTACTACCGAGGTTTATTGGCACCCGCTACATGTATACCAGAGTAAAAATGCAACACTTCTCCATCTTTACTACATTATTTGTAGCATATATATGTGCCGCTATTCAGAGGTTCTATATTGAAAGAGTAGCGTTGCTTTTATTAATCCTGTATATAGCCGCATTCGAAAAGTACTGGCACCCTACTATATTGAGTCGTTAACGAATTGTAGCCCACCAACAACCATGTCACTCGTGCATACTAAACTTATTGACAGGTATGACCGCAATAGAGACATCGCAGCTCTCTCTGACAACAGTCTCGAATATGAGAATTTCAAAGTAGAAAGGACTGCCTCGGGAGTTTGGCCTGGAGGTGCCAAAACTTTTCGAATGCGGCTGTACGCAGTAATGTACTTTTTACATTATCCGGCGAGTAACTGTTCAGCGCGATGTTTCATTTTGAGTGACACCCCGCCCGCTCTTGGCGGCATTCTGGACAGGGAAAGATCCAAACGTTTCTTAGAGGCAGGTCGCTAGGAATTAGTATCTTTAGAAATTAGTGGAATAGGGTTGGTAGGCGAGAAAACGTTTATGATAATGTAAAGCCGGGGTCAGTTTATGCAAAGTATCATGACTGGCTAAAAAAATACCATGGCGCTTTCTTTCATTACAAAGAATCATCGATACTATCACTCCAAATGCTATTGAGGTTGGACAGTTCTTTGAAACTTTTGATTCGTTTAAAGTACACAGCTGTGACTAGAATAGCCTGGGACATTTAATGTGCACAATGATTTAAAATCGTGACTTGAAAAATCCATTTACTGATTCCATTTGGATTTGATTTTTCCCTTAAAACGAATTCCACCAACTAAGATATTGACATTTCCCAGCGAAAATTAGGACCCCAGAAACCACTTTCCCGACGACTTTACTGAATATTCTAGGTACACATTTCCACGGCCCCTAGAGGGTGAATAAAACTCCATTCGGCAACACCCTAATATCATGATATTCAGCTTGTTATGGCCCTGTCACGAAGTCGGTTCAGTGACGAAGTTTCGCCACTGGACGAGTTCATTCACGAAGTTTCATGACTGGACTATATTCTTCGTCACTGAACTACCAATGTAGAAACCCCGCCCAGTCACGAATTGCTTACAGTAAGCACAGCTCAGACACGAAGTATTTAAGAGTTGCACTAGTGGTGAGGTCGCCAGTACGTGCGGGAGAAAAATAAAGTGCACGGGAGAAATGAAATTGCGCGGGAGAAAAATGAAAATACGCGAGAGAAAATACAGTGCGCAGGAGAAAATTACAACAGGATTCTGCGACGCTCACAGAGATGTACTAGCTCTTGCACTCAATTTCAGCACTAGTCATATTACTAGAGCAGCTCTACGTTGTACTTCGCGACTGGACTAGGGTTTATATGAGTCCTTCATAACTGGACGGAGACTCTACATTGTTAGTTCAGTCAAGAAGAATGCGGTCCAGTCACGAAACTTCGTGAATGAACTGGCCCAGTGGCGAAACTTCGTCACTGAGCCGACTTCATGATTGAGGCGTAACAAGCCCAATATCATGATATTAAGAAAATATGCAATATTTTTTCTAGTGGTAGTGTTCTGGCAACCACAAAATATCAACTTTCTCAATCTGCTATCTGCCCAATATCACAATAAAAAATATTCTGCTCCAATCTAAATATTTGAAATAGCGCCAGTAGAATTACCCTAATGTCCCAACTTGTGGTTACAGCCAAACATGCTAATTGTAACCACAATATTCACAAATATCCTAGATCAGAAAAATCACATACTTGGTTGTAATCCTTTCAGGTCGCAACCTCACCATATTCATATCACGGTTTTACGGAACAGAGTGTAAGAGAGAAGGAGGCAGAAATACAATTTTAACTATAGTACCAAGGGAAATGCTTAGTCATCTAATGACAACACCGATGATATACATATATCCTCTGACACGATGTCCGACTCGGGTTGATCTAGCTTCGGTCAGTCAATCACTTGCCCTTGAATTCGGAACACTATGTTCCATACAAGGTCTGGTTCGGGACAAGCTCGTTAGCATAGGAACCACACGGTGATTATCAACCTGAATCTGGGTAATATAGCGAGATGTAGAAACAGAGGACTAAAAATAGGGTTTCTATGGCTGGGCGAGCCAATAGGACTCTCTTACCGCAAGCTGTAGTATTCTAGTTCAAGAAGCTGTTCTAGCTCATTCACGAAGCCGGTTCGCTCATGGAGTTTCGTGGATGAATCAGTTCATTCACGAAGTACTCATTATTACAGATAAAGAGATTTCTGCCTTTATGACCTAAGTATTACCTCCTCACGCAATACAATTGGGGCGGGCAATAAAGCTTCCTGCTAATGTATACTATCGGTATATATGTGACTGAAATGGATTATGCCTGCTGTTAAAGCTGCCAACCTTTGCCAAGTATTATATGTTAATTCTGTAGCCAGCCCGATGTTACCATTTCTTATGTCCCAACATCTTGACCTAGCAGTCTATCCTTTTTTTCCTTCCGTTATTTATTACTCCATTATTATAGGCTATCAGACTCATACCTGGTTGGTTCCTTGCAAATTTACCGCTGATTTGGTGAGTGAACTGAAATCTTCCTGGCTGAGCTCGGCAATTCCGATATATATCTCACTTCCTGGATGAACTAATTTACTAATGAAACTTCGTGAATGAACTGACTTCGTGATTGAGCCGGAACAAAGCTGTAAATATCACGAAACAAGAAGGGACTTGTTTTCGA